TGCTCCTTCCCAGAGCACAAGCCGGTAGTAGTTTTACTGCCTTTTTACAAGCAGTGCTGGTTTTACTGCCTTTCCCCCTTCCCCCCCTGCCGCAGACAAAGGTGTGGGGTGGGGGGGTGTCTGTTACTGGTGGGTGTTTCGGCTGGGTATGGCTGTAACTAGGTTTTGTGCAATGTCTGCCCTGAGCCCCCTGAAAGTTTTTCTATTTAAAGATCCTCTGGCATGCCAGCTCAAGTGGCATCTCCCTCTGCTCCCTCCCACTCTAACTGGCTCTTCGTCACATATCGATCTTAAATGCTCTGCAGATTTGCTTGTCAGGGAGAAAATGGTCAAAGATTATAAGGGCACGTTGAAATTTATTCCTTTTTACAGCCTTTTCTCCTTTGCCGCTTGTCCCTTCCTCTTCAGCCTCTTCCCGAAAAAAGGGAAAACATGCTCACCACTGCCCGTCATGATTTGTGTGGCTGACCTCTGGGGTGCAACGAGGAATATTTTATCACATTGATTTTTTTTTTTTTTTTAAAGTATTTTTTTTCTTAACACTTGCACAGAAACAGTTTGTTTTCCTGATGCTGCGCTCCTACCATCAGGAAAATAACGAACGAGGCGGTGGCTCGGTGCCCAGCGCATGGCAGTGGTCCTGTGCAGGATGTGGAGGCGTCTGCAACCTGATCCGTGTGGACGGACTCCTCTGGCCATGCCAGCGCTGGCGGGTTCAGAAAGAGACAGTGAGGCCTGAGAGTGCCCTGCCGTGTATCGGGTCACAAAGCTTCTTCATTGTCCTGACTAAAGCCTATTGGTTTGGGGTGGATACTGTAGGAATAACCAAAGACATGCATATTGACAGCTTAAGGTATTTCCAGAAATCATTTTTTTAAGAAATTTGGATCATACTGTTCCTAGAACCTCAGTGCTGTGGAGCCATGGTGGATTGACAGATTGCTCTGAGTGTATCACAGTTTAAAGCGCTTTGTAAAGTTGCATATGATCACTAGGAGAGAAAAAGATGGCAGAAGTGAGGCTGGGAGGCTCTGTGCAGCCCAGCCCACCCCGAGTGCTGCGGGAACAAAAGCCACACGTAGCCCAGGACTGTAGGAAAACCTCCTTGCAGAGGGAATAGAGAGCTAGTTTTCCAAAGATGCGGAGGGACACCCCAGGTACGTAACGGTGCTCTTCTCCCAAGGGAGACGTTGACGCTTCAGTCCCATACTGGCAGAGAGAGGAGTTACATGCTGGTAAATGCTGCCTGCGCATGAGTGCAGCCCTATGAGGAAACCAGCTGAAGTCGGTGGAGTGAAGCTACTGGCTGCAGGCAGCTAAAACGCAACTGACTGGATATTTTTTAAAGGAATCTGAAATTAAATAGCTAATAATAAAGCTCAAACTGTAAAACATAAGTGGAAGTGGCTAACTTTTCTCTTGAAGGGAGGGAAATCAATGTAGCCTCGCAGTTATTCACTGCTTGTGCTGGGAGGGCGGCTTCTCTGTGGGTGCCTGTTAGCAGCTCCCTGCAGCTGGGTCTTGCCTCTGGCCAGCAGCCTCTGCAACACAAACTTGGGCGTAGCATCTCACTGCTTAGTTAAATCACAGCAACCATTCCCTTTAGCTCTCAGTTATATTAAGCATTGCAGGGTTTATCTCTATTCTTAACTGTCTTACTAATAAGAGAGGTCAGAGTCTACTAGAGAGGTTTTAAACAGCTGTGCTCAGTGGTAGCGGAGTATAGTTAAATCCATTTGAATAATTTCATTAGATTAAAGGAGAAGTGCAATTTTGGGTTTCACACAGATCCGGCAACTGCACCAATCACTCAGCAATAGCTTAGTAAAGTTAAATAAAACTGACTCTTTAACTGCTTAAATGTTGTTGCAAATGCCAGCATGGTTGTGCTTAAGGGCTTCTCCTGTGCTGACTGCCTGGGCAGAGCTCCTGGGAGGTGCTGGCCAAGCAAGAACAGCCGGGCCGAGCACCTGAGACATACTTATGCAGGCTCTAAGCTAATTATTTGTGGATAAGCAGGTTTTCAAGCCCCTGTTGCAGAACAGATTTTTTTTTCTGTCTGTGCGCTTTGAAAACCTAGCTTATGCAAACTTGGCTGAAGACGGCGTGTCCTGGACCCTGCCGTCATTGATTTATTTTTAACAACCCCAACACTCTGCTGCATTTGTCTTCCTCTTCTGCATGCAGTTGAACAGCACCTGGTTGTGCAACACTGCAATCAGCAGGGAAATTCCCCATTGGCTCCTATTTCCACATTTCAAGCATGCTAAATATCTTCATACCTATTTTATAAGAGAGTTATGCAGGAAGACGGCTGGCCCAAGGACAGCAAGTGCCTGTGTGGAAAGAGGCAGAGGAGCCTGGTGTTCACCCAGGACACCAGCCCGTGAGCCCTGGCTGACCCACTCTGCTTCTACACCAGTCCCCCTGCAGCGGCCATGGGGAATAAAATCCTAAAAGCTGCAGCAAAGCTTATGACTAGCCCCGAAATTATGATACATGCATGTAAAAAGTGGAAAAGTTCAGGTTCCACATCTTTATTACCCTTTTTAATGTAATCTTTAAATAATTTGCTTTCCTAACACAGGTTTTTATGCAAGTAGTGAGACTAACATGCAGCATCAGAACCTATTGCAAAGGTAGGATAAGGCATCGTGTCCTTTTCAGCGTAAATAACCCACTGATCTTCAGAGGGTTCATGCAATATTTCTTACCTTTGGGCACTTTTACTATCCAAGACAGATGGATTGTGGCATATGTCTTTTATTTCTAGCTCAATGTAGAATTAATCATCTGAAAAGGGAAAATATTTTGAAGGCATGTATTGTGTGTTTTAAGGCAAACATGAGTCTGAAGTTCACAGGTTTTAGTTTTTGTGTTGGTAATGGTGAGAATAAAGTCCAGCTATAGGAAAACAGTTTACTGGTTAACCGGTTTACATGCTCACCTGAATATTCGTGTCTCTAACAACTACATGGTGGGTGAGCCACTCTGACACAGTTCTGTCTCCTGGGCCATTCCCGGCTTATTTGCTTTTGCAGCGGTAAGGTCTCCAGATGTGTCTGTGTGCAGGGCTTACGTAAAAATCGCTCTGTAGCCAATTCGTACAGGTTTCCAAGTAGCTGGTTTGCCTGGAATGGGTATGGGGCTGATTTTACCTGTTCATTTAGTGCTAACCAAAGATCAGCGAACGGAGAGAAAGTCCTGGATTATTTATTTATTTATTTATTTTTAAACGAAGAAGTCCTTCCACAAGGTGATTGAAGGTGTGGAAGCTTTAGAGCCAAGTCTACCTTAGAAAGACTGGTGAAGTGGAAGAAAGGGGAAGGACAGTAGAGAAGGGGACTGCCTGCCACGCAGGAGATGCTGCAGCATCTAGGAGACTGAGGGAGAGGAATGGTGGCAACTGGGATGGTGGGAAAGAAGGGGTGGGGAGGGGAGTGCTGGCAATTTGTCTTCCCAGGGTAAAGTTTATCATACCCTCCTCGCAGGGAAGGTGAGGGCGGTGGCCCCGGCCCCTGCCACAACTGGGAAATGCACTTCACTACTGTTTGTTCTCTTCAGCTTTTTAGATAATAAAATAAAGCCCTGGATTGACGTTTGTAGCTGAAATAACACTCAGACTCCAACAAGTTCCCTGTTAGGTCTCAACAAAGTGATTGTGATTAAATCGCTGTGTAAAGGTGGTCTCCCAACCAGACCAAAGTGTTTGTTCAATACCTGTGCTCCCTCCACGACCTGTATGGTGGAGAGTCCAGAATGCAGGAGCAAGGCAGTCCTCTGGGGCACACAGGTGCTGTGGTTTCTTCAGCAGCACCTGCAGCTGTGACCAGCAATGCCACCGGGCCATGCCACGACCTGACGTCCGGAAAAGAGACCAGCACTGCAGCAGGTTGTGTCACTTCCCAGGCATTTGCAAGCATCGGGGATGGAGCAAAATGCCTGAGTATGGCCCAGCTCCTGGCTCCCAGCTACTCTTAATAAAAATCAGCTTTGTGGCAGAGCAAGCAGCCATATTATTGCATATAGATAATCATTCATTTGAATTTGGACATATGCATGAGCCACCATGGTGCCAGAAGGGGCATCATTAATGCTGAAGGAAGGAAGGTGGCAGTAGGTCAACAAGTGAAAGGCTGTGTTAAAAGCAGCAACTTTCTGTAGCTCCTAATTCTCTTACCCTGAAGAAGCAGCGGATGAGCTATAGCCCTAGGAAATACAGAGCAATAGGCAGAGACCTGGCTGAGTGTACTGGTTGCTGTAGGGGGAGAGGGGCAGGGTGGTAAAGGCAGAAACTACAGGAATGCACAGAACAAACAGAAGAATAAAACATTTCCTTCAACTGTGAAGGCAAGCTGACCAATACCAATTCCCACCTCCCCTGCACTGTGCCTGCAGGGCTCATGCAGGAGCCTTCTGGGATTGAGAGATCCTGCTGGTGGAGGCCACTGCCACAGCTTGACGTCTCCATCATTTTGTCTGGGTTGTTTTCATCTTGCAAGGTGTTATGCGGCAAACAGCAACACATTTTGATGATACCAGGAGTGACAAGGTCTGATGTGAAGAGGATGAAGGGAGGCTCTGGAGGATATTAGAAAGCTGATGGGCTGGCTGGCTGTACTCCTCTTTGACGGGGTGGTGTAGCACAGATGGACGGACCTCACTCAACATTCTGAACACGACTGCTCCAGCAGCTGCACAGGAGAAAACTCCTCACTGGGATGATACATAAAGGAACATGTGCCCAGCCTGCCCAGCTGGACTAGAAACCTGAAATCCCATCGGGCACAGCGCAGAAGTCATAGTGAGAAGCAGAGGGCTGTGAGAAGCAAGGGGAGGCGATAACAAAAATCTGGTTTTGAGCTATTATGACAGGAAGCACAAAACCAGTTGTCAGTGCCTTCAAGAATAAGAAAAGGTTTGAGCCAATGTTCTAGCATGGAAATGACAGACTGACAGCACACGTGCCGATGGGACTGGGTGTGAAATGTCTGTGTGCTAAAAGAGCAGCACTGGCTTTTGTCCCTGGATGTCAGTGGCTTCACATCTGCATTTATGGAGCTGAAACATTGCAAACATCATTTTGCAGTGGCAGATACTTCCTCTGACAAGGGAGGGGTCTTTCAGGTGCTACTGTGCAGTGTGCGAATTGCATACAAAACTAGAGCAGCGTGTGGAAGTACACAGGAAGAAAATTCTTGACTTCTCTGTCTTCAATTCCAGTCTTAAAACTATAAAGCGCCACCTCATTACACAGTAGAGGAATATGGACTGTGACCGCAACCTTGAAAATGCGACAATGGTGTGAATAATGCAAGCTTTTTACGTAGGCAGGGTCAAGGCAGCACATTCTTATTCAGTAATGTTAGCTGAAGTGGCAATACTGCTCTGTTCTGCACGGGGTTTTGTTTAATAACACCAGGTAGTACAGAAAAATAGGTTAAAAATATATAAGGGTTATTTAGAAGTTGAAAAATCTAAGAAAAAGATTAGTGGTCTATTATCGTGGCCTCAGGTAAGACCTGAAAGTTTGCTTTGTACTGTTGCTATTATTTTATTTTGTTTTATTTTGCCTGAGTCAACATAATGCCAAGCTGTGAAACTGGCAAAGGAAAAGCTAGCAGCCAAGTTGGTATAGATTTGTTTGCTTTGCCTGTTCCTCCAACCTGTATATCTTACCTTATGGAGCAAGACTTGCTAGAGAATACTAACCAAGGCAGATAATCAGCTATATATCCCAGGGTTTTTATTTGTTTGAGGTCTGCTTTTGGGTTTATTTGGCTAAGATGTGATTATTATTGCATTGTCAGACTCTCTTTGAATCGTGGGCTTTAGTCCAAGCTGCCCTGCTAGTCATGGTCTGCAGGCCAGCCCACGCATCACAACTGGCTTTAAGGCTTACTGCTGGACTTTGATAGAGTGTTGTCCCACCACTGCCTACTCAGGCCGTTGTCCCACAGGGTGCATTCAGTCTTCAGTTATCACCGAGCACATCAGAGATGAGCTGGTCTTTGCACCAATCTGCATAGACCTCAGCGTGGGCCAGCCCAGGGCAGCCCTTCTTGTGCTGTGCTCTGGAAAGCAAATTCATGAAGAGGTAAGGCCAGCACTGCTAGTATCGGGGTTACCTTTCTGTTTCCAGTAGCTACTGAGCATTTTTGCTGAGGGCCTTTTACAAAAACCTTATGGTTCGGAGAGTTTGCTTGATGGAGTGATTATGACTGTCCTCAGGATGTCCTCTTCTCCTTCTTTAAAGCCTTCTGCCAGGTGCTCAGCGCCCTCCAAAGCAGTGCCGGCTGCTCCTCAGGGGTGTATCCCCCCATCTCTGCAGCCTGCAGGTGTCTCTGGCACCCATCTGCTGCTGGGTCGCAGCCTGTGGCAGCCAGTCAGCTGGGTTCTGCTTCTCTGATCCCACGGTCGGGAGCCAGGTTTCTTCATTCTTACCGAAGAAGTGCTTTTTCCTAATCACATGGAAAGTGACTCTTCCCCCTGTTTAGTGGAAGTAGGATGCAGTGTGGCCATATGTTTGCATCCTTCCATGCGAGTGACAGGCTTCACCACTTTGCTCTGCTGAAGTTTCTGCCTTTCTTTCCATCAGCTGCTAACACCATTTCCCTGAATGAACGACAGTCTACTCAAGTAATAGTGGAGTTGAGTGTTACAATTACCTTTTCTATGCTTTTTTTTTTTAAATAACTCTTGTAACCTTAAAAATAGTTTAGAAAACTAGTATGTCTTTTAATTGCTTTTGCTATTCTTTACACTCTCATTTCTACGACAGGGTTTTTTTCTGCAGCTTCCCAGAAAACGTTTCTCCAGCCTTTTTTTTACCTCAGAGATATTTAATTACAGCATATCATAGTGTACTGATTGCATATCATAAGGTTTGAAGTTAGCTTTATGACACATTGTTTCATTTGGGGAGGGCTCTGTATATTTTTATTGGTGAATGTATTCTAAATTACTTTGTTAAATATCTAAAGTGCTTAGAGGATGAAACATATGAGAGGACAGTAACAAACTAACAGATAGATTCTCTGCTCCTCTGAGCATTGTATAATCATTTACACTTGGGCAAAGCAAGTGTGAGTGCTATTAAAACACTGACGGTATCTTTGAACTGTTTAATGCAAGGTTTAAATTATACTGTGTGATAATCAGGGACGTGCAAATAGCCCCAGAATCAGCTCCATCTCACACTGGCAGAACAAGGTCAGACCAAAGACTGTTTTTCCTGCATTATCAATAGCATGTAAACGCCTCCCCTTCATTGAACTAACCTCGCAACATGCAACTTTACAAAAATTTATCTAAAACAGAGTTGTCAGATGAAATATGGCTTTGCCTATGAAATACAAGCTGTTTCAAAATTTGTACACATGTAGTATTTTTACAACTTTGAAAAGTATTTTTGCTTTAATGCAAAAATTTAGATATTACTGCATTAATTTAATTTGTTGTGTGAGTTTATGGCACTTTTTTTCTGTTGTTCTTTTTGTTTTTAGTTTGAAAGATCTTATCCAAAGTGAAGATGTGAAACCCAAGCTGCAGTACATCATGACTAATCCTTCCTTTTCTATGGTAACAGTTCAAAGTGAAGACAGTGGGATAACCTGGGAAACAAGCTCGAGCAGATGTTCTACTCCCTGGACCTCTGAAACTAGCACAACTTCTGATCTTTACAGTATGGAAAGTTCACCAGTAGGTTCTCCTCCAGGAAAAGTTATCTTTATTATGGATGAAGGTAAGATTGTTCGGAAAAGGAAGCGCAGACCTTCAAATAGGGTGCCAATGGCTACAAGCCTGAAGAGAGGCCAGGGCAATAAAAAACGTGACTCTTCTGGAATGCAGAGGCAAGAACAAAGAACTGTTCTAGGGGCTGTGCAGGCCTCCATGTTGAATGTTGAACAGGTGGAAGCGCAAGACACAGATGAGGAAATGCTGGAGGACAAAGAAGATCTAGAGAACATTGCAGAAGAGCCAGTCAAACGTGCTCCGATAAGATCAATATTTAGAGAGAGCAGGCTGAGAAAAGTAGGGCCGATCCTTGGAGGACCAGTACAAGCTAGAATCCAGCTGTTCAACTCAATTTTTGGAGGGACTGGGCTAGCCCCTGAAGCATTGGAGAAAATCAGAATTCAGAGAAGTATCTCAATTTCAGGAGATTCTGAAGCACTGCTTGAAACATCAGTAAAAGAAAAATTGCAGAAGTTCAGTTCACTTTCAGAAGCAACACATCCAAAACTTTTCCAAACAGTAAGAAGTAGAAATCTTGAAACACCATCTGAGAGAAGAAAGAAGCAAAGACAGCAACTCGCAGCACATTCAAATCAAAGTTATTCTTCACCATCAACACCTCTTAAAGAGCAGCTCACGAATACAGATGATGTGTCATCTGAAAATATTAAACCCATTAAAATGAAAGGTAAACCAAGCAGATTTTCAAGCTTTGATGCAGAAACAACTCTTAAACGTGAAGAAAGAAAAGACAGCCAGTCTCTTCTGGAGACTTCAGATCAGGTATCGGGGCAGTCATTGAAGTCCTGCCCTCCTGAAGAAGCCAGGAAGCAGCAAAGTTATTCACCTGCAACCAAAACATCCATAGCAGAGCAATCAACCTCCATTTTATTGGAGTCTGATGATAAATCAGAGACACAAGTGCCAGTTCCATCAGCTGAAACTGCAAACAAGAAATCAGACCAGTGCCTGCTGACAGCTTCAGGTCTGCTGGATGAACAGAAGGAGCAGAAAATTCAACCTAATTCTGCACCTCAGTCTGTTTCAGCAGATACTGTTGACGAATTAGGTAGGCAAAGTACCCAGCCTATTTTGCCTACAGCTTCTGTGTCAGAACTTTCTGAGAGGGAAGCATGGAAGGCAGCAGTTGAGTCTTATTTACCTAGTGCACCATCAGCTAAGCCCAAATATTCCACTCTATCTGAAACAATACAGGAGGATATTATTCCTCAGTCACCAGAAACTGCACAAACTCAATCTGCACAGGTGCTTTTACCACATTCTGTAGGTGAAACAGAGAAGCAAGAAACTCAGTGTCACTTATCAACAACTGCTCTGTCAGAAACTGAGCCTTCAGGTCTATTCTACTGTGCTGAAGAAAAACAGGTTCAGAAGACCCCACCACCAGAAACACAAAATGTTCACTTAGAGAAAAAAACAGAGTCTAAACGAGACCTTTCCTTCTCCCTTCAGGAAACAGAGGAGCACGGAATTAAACTAAATTCACCTATTCCTGAAAATATAGATTCTAAATACTTCAGCATTTCATATCCTATTCGCACAGAAACACAAGAATGTCAGAAAACTTCAGCTATAAGTAAAGCAGTAGATTTGGATCACTCTGACTTTTCCATCAAAAATAACAAACAAGCAGAGAGAGTGCAAATGGAGATGGAGCATCTAGACTTATACTCCAGCAAACAAACTGAGGAATCAGAGAGAACACAGGTGGAGAAAGGCCATCCAGACTTCTCTTTTTCTGGGGAAGAAACAGATGAATTGGAGGCTGCACAGCTGGAGATGGAGCATCCCGACTTTTCTTTTTCCAGGGAAGAAATGGAGGAACGAGGAAGTGCCCAACTAGAGACAGAACATCCCGATTTCTCATATGCCAGGGAAGAAATGGAGGAATTAAAGAGTGCCCAGCTGGAGACCGAGCATCCAGATTTCTCGTATTCCAGGGAAGAAGCAGAGGTATCAGAGAGTACAAAACTGAAGACAGAAAATCCAGAATTGCTTTTTTCCAGGAAAGAAACAAAGGAATCAAAGAGTGCCGAACTGGAGATAGAACAGCCCGATTTCTCATACGCCAGGGAAGTAATGGAGGAACTTGAGAGTGCCCAGCTGGAGACGAAGCATCCAGATTTCTCGTATTCCAGGGAAGAAACAGTGGAATTGGAGAGTTCACAACTGGAGAAAGAGCATCCAGAATTTTTTTCCACAAAAGAAACAGAAGAATCAGTGAGTGCACAGCTGGAAATGGAGCATCCAGACTTTTCTTTTTCCAGGGAAGAAGCGGAGGAATCAGAAAGTGCACAGTTGGAGACAGAGCACCCAGATTACTCATATTCCAAAAAAGAACCTGTAGAATCAGAAAGTGTACAACTGAAGATGGAGCACCCAGATTTAACATATTGCAGAGAAAAAATGGCAGAATCTGAGAGTGTACAGCTGGAGATGGAGCATCCAGACTTTTCTTTATCCAGGGAAGAAGTGGAGGAATCAGAAAGTGCACAGCTGGAAATGGAACATCAGGAATTTTTATTTTCCAGGGAAGAGACAGAAAAACAGAAATCTGTTCCTTTTGAAGTGGAACAGGCAGAGTCTTATTTCCCTGAAGAAGCAGAGCAAGAAGATACAGCACAGCTTGCACCTGTATCTTCAGATTTATCATGTTGGATGGAAGTAGTAGAGAAAGTAAGTGCTACGGAACTCAAATTGGTACCTCCCGGTATATCTGATTCCACTAGCAGAGCTGAGACACAGCAGACTGGGTATCTGGAAACACCATGTTCAGATTTACCATATCGCACAAACAAAACAAAGCAGCAAGAATTTGCACAAGCAGATTTGGACAATTCTCTTATGTCATATTTTGGTGACAAAGGAGAACAGCTGCAGCCTGTACAGCAGGTTTCACAACCTGGAGGTAAGCTGTATTCCTGTGCTGAGGGAGTGCAAGGAGAAACTACTCAGCTGCAGTCAGAGCACTCATTTTTGTCATATTCTGCTGAAACACTACAGCAACATAAAACCTCACAGCTGAGGGCAGAACAGCCAGAGACATTATGCTCCACTGACAAAAGAGAACAACAGGAAATACTGCAACCAAAGTTGGAACAAGCAGATTCACTATATTCCCACAGAGAAACAGCACAAGAAGCTGTAAAAAGAGACTTAGAAGGTCCAGAGCCATCATGTTTCATTAGTGAAGCAGAGCAACTTGAAAATGTACAACTAGCTTCAGAAAATAAGGATTTCTCATTTATCACTGGAGAAGTAATGCGAGAAGGCGTGGAATCAGGGATTTTTGGCTCCTTAGGCTCAGTTGACAGAGCAAAGCACTGGGAAATGGCACAAATGGAGCAGAAGCAGTTGCTTCCGTCCTGTTCCATTGCTGGTAGTCAGCAACAGGAACCAGAACCACTGGATGTGGCCCAGCCAGATATATCATATTCCTCTGGCAGAATGGAACAACAAGATACAGTACAACAAGATCTGGAACAGCAGGAAACAGCACAACAAAAAGCTATGAAAATGGAGTATTCAGATTTTTCAGAAACCTCGGGGAAAGGAGAGCCACAGGTCACAGACCAAACTGATGTGGCACAGCAAGAAATAGCTCAACAACAGTTAGTGCATCCATCTTTGCCATATTCTTTCAGTGAACCAATGCAAGAACAAATGCAAACAGAGCCAGCGTATCCAGGACAGGTATTTTGTCTAAGTACAGAAATGCAGGAGGAAATGACACAACACAAATCAGAGCAACCATTTCTTCCAGGTTTTGCTGGCGAAACAAAGCAACAAGAAATAGTACATCTAGAGCTGGAGCAAACACTTTTGCCATCTACCAGTGGAAAAGAAGCTCCACTGGAAATGGAAGTGAGTTCAGAATACCCAGGTTTGTCATATTCCTTTCATGAAGCTGAACAACAGAAAACATTGAAACATCCAACCTTACCATTTCGTTTGAAGCAACAAGAACCTGCACCACTGGTGAAGGAACATCCAGATTTTTCATGTGACACTGCTGAAGCAAAACCAGGCAACATCATAGAGCCAGAGTTGGGACATCCAGAGCTCTCATACTCCATGGGAGAAACACAACAACAATCAGAACATTTGGATTCACCAGGAACCCTGGGTGAAGCAGCACAAGATGAAAGTGTGGAAGCGGAATCTAAATACCCAAATTTGTCATGTACTTATGGCCAAAAAAACCACCAAGAAACTTCACAGTTGGATTCTAAATATCTGGATTTATCGTTTTCTTTTGGTAAAGCCAAAGAACAAGCAACTCAAGAGTTTGAGTCTAAACATCAAGAATTGCCTAAAGTGGCCAGAAAAAGAGCTTCTCCAGCAATGGCACAAATAGATTCGAAACATCCAGATTTGACATACTCCCCTGGCAAAGTAAATGAGCTGGAAGTTGCACCATGGGAAGTGACGCATCCTGATTTGTCACATTCCACCAATGAGACAAATCAACAAGAAGTAGCACTGTTGGATCAGAAACAGAGAAAAATTTCTGTCAGCAGAGAAAAGCAGCAGCAAACCACAAAACAGCAGTTAGAGCAAGAAAAGTTATTACATTCTCCTGGTAAAACAGAGAAATTAAAACAAGTCCAGGAGGATTCGGAAGAACCAGGCTTATCTTTTTCCACTGACAGGCTGAACGATCAAATGGCCTCACTAGAGGGAGAACATCCCGATGTGATATATCCTCTGGACAACGCAGGGGTGCAACGAAGAGTACAACACGAAATGGAGCAGACTTACCGCTTTGGAACAGCAGAACAGAAAACAGTTCAGCCAGAAGGGGAAATTCCACATTTGGCCCATCCTGTGGGTATGGCAGAAGAAGAAGAAGGAATGGCAGAACCAGGGCAGGGACATCTTGACTTGCCTAATTCAGTTTTCAAAGCAGGAGTGCAAACTGCGCAGCTGAAACCTGAACACCCTGGTCTAGCATGTTCCCTTGACGAAGTGCAGGAAACCACCCGGCTGGGGTTGGAACAGCCAGATGCTTTGTGTGTTTGTGACAAAACAGAGCAGCTCCCACCTGCCCAGCTGGACCTGGGCCACGCAGACTCGGCATCCCCTGCTGACAAAGTGGGGCAGCCAGGGATGGAGCACATAGCCATGGGATGTCCTGATGAGGGACAGTCTGTCAGCAAAGCAGAGCATCCACAAACTGCAGAAGATAAACTAGGAGCTCCAGATGCATCATCTCATAGTGGAAAAGTGGAGCAAAGAGAAGTGACAAAACCAGAGCCAAAGCATCCTGATTTACCATATTCCATTGACAAAACACAGACACAAGAAACTACACAACTGGCGTTAGGAAAATCAGATCTATCATCTTGGCTTGGCAAAACAGAACAAGCACGCACAGCTCAAGAAGAGCAGGCAGGTTTCTTGCATTCTTTCAAAAAAAATGCACGAGGAGAGAAAGCACAGCCAGAATTGGGACATTCACAGTTATCTTATTCTGTTGGTGAAGCAGAACAGGAAACTGCACATGAGAAATCAAACTATTCAGATGTATTTGCTGGCAGATTAGAACACCAGGAAATCATACAACCAGAGGCAGAAATAATGGATTTATCGTGCTCAATTGGTGAAACACAGCAACCTCAAATTGCTGAAGTGGATTTGGAGTATCCGGATTTATTGCATTCCACTGGCATAGTACAGCAACAAGAAAAGATTCAACCAGAGGGGGAACAGCCAGGCAATTTTTCATCATTGCTTAGCAAAGAGGAGCAATGCGAAAGTTCAGGAATGCAGGCAGAACACCCTGAGCTGCGGTGCTCTTCTGGGAAAACAGAAGGACTGCGGCATTCCCAAGCAAAATCAGAATATGCAGATTTGTCATTCTCTGTTGGCCCAGCAGAACCTCATAAAGCAACACAGCCAGACCTGAAAGAACAGAATTTGTTGCATTCTTTTGTCAAAACAAAGCCATCATGGGGTGCCCCATTGGAACCCGAACACCCAGATGTCACAGATGCCGTGGGCAAAGTACTGCACCCTGATTTGTCCTCTTCCGTTAGTGAAGAAAAACAAAATACACAACCAGAGGTCAAACAGGAGAGAGGAAGCTATACATTACACCCAGAGGAAACAGCACGACTGAAATTGGAACAGCCAATGTTTTCAAGTTCTCCCTGCACAGCAAAGCAACCCAACAGGGCCCTACCGGAAGGGGAATTCCCAGACTTCTTGTATTCCTCTGGCAAAAAAGAGCAACAAGAAATGGCAAAACAAGAGTTGGAGCATTCAGATTTATCATATTCCGCTGATAAAACACAGCAACAAGAAACCACACAACTTGGGTTAGGACAACTAGATTTATCATCTTGCCTTGGGAAGACAGAGAAACCACGAACTGTTCAAGTGGAAGCAGAGCATCAGGACTTGCTGCATTTCACTGGCAAAACAGAACATCGAGGAACAGCACAACCAGAGATTGAGCATCCAGATTTGTCAGATTCCAGTGACAAAGTAGAGCAGCCACCAGCCACACAACAGAAGTCAGAGCAGCCTGTAACACCCCATCCCACTGGAAAAACAGAGCAGCAGGGAACAGCACATCCAGAGCAGGAGCTTCCAAATGTATCATATTCCATTTGCAAAACACTGTCACAAGAAGCAACACAGATGGACTTAGGGCAACAAGATTTGACATATGCCCTTGGTAAAACAGATGAAATGCAAACTGTGCAAGGTGAACTGGAACATACAGGTTCGTTGTATTCTTCAGGCAAAAGAGAACAAGAAATGGTATTGCCAGAGTTGCAACATCCGCAGCTACCTTACACTGTTAGAGAAATAGGAGAAGAACCTACACATCAGAAATCAAGCTATCCAGATTTGTCATATTATATTGGTCGACAAGAGCACCAGGAAGTTGAACAACCAGAGATGGAAGACATGGATTTATCCAATCTAGTGGGTAAATCAGAGAACTTACATCCTGCCCAAGAAGTACTGCAACAGCCAGAGCTTTTGGAGTCTTTCAGCACTCTAGAGGAAAAGGGAATGTCCCAGCCTGGCTTTTTGCAGTCCTTTGGTGAAGAAAAGCAGAAACCAGCTTCACAGTTAGACTTAGTGCAACCAGGTTTGTCACATTTGCTTGGCAAAACAGAAAACCAGGAAACAGCACAAGCAGGGTTCATATCTTCTGATTTTTCATATTCCACAGGAAAAGCAGAGGAGCAGCAACTGGAACAACTAAAATCAAAATATCCAGATTTGTCGTATTCTCTTCGCAAAGCAGACACTCACGAAATGAAACCACCAGATTTATTGTACTCCTATGGAAAGACAGAGCAACCACAAACTGCCCAGCTGGAGCATCCAGAGACATATTTCATGGGTGAAACGGAGGGGAGGGATGGACCCCAACCTGAACTGCAGTGCATGAATTTGCAGTACTCTGTTGTTCAAACGGAGCAACCAGTAACATCTTCTATATCATATACCTTTGATAGGACTGAAGAGCCGGGAACTGCACAAATGCACTTCAAACAATCAGGTTTATTAAGTCCTACTGATAAAGCAGACGAGCATGGAATGACCCTTCTGAGAGCAGGGCATTCAGAGAAGCGACACACTGGTGCTCCTTCATCTCTAACTTCTCAGCTGGAAACTGAGCAAGAGATATCCTTTTCCACTGAGGAAGCAGAGACCCAAAAAATTCAACTCTATTCATCTCTTACTGAACAAACGATGTCTGTACCTTTGGCTGTTTCGCATTCTGTCACTGAAACAAAACCAGAAGGAAGTCCAAAGTCTTCACCTGTAACTGGAGGCCCATCCCCCAAGAACTTAAATTTATCTTACACCTGCTGTAAAACAGAGCAGTCAGAAACTGCCCAGCCTGAGTCAAGTTTGTTCTTTGCAAGAAAAGAAGCAGAGAATACAAATAATCACCTACATTTGTCCGGGGCTGCACCATCAGAGGCTGAACATATAATATTACCTGAAACACAGAGAGATAAGACTCCACATTACTTCCACACAACTACGCAATTACAATCTGAACAATTAAATGTATCATATTCTACAGATAAAGCAGAAGGTCTAGAAGGTCAAGAATGTTTAACTGTACCTTCGAAACTGGAATGTGAACCTTCAGTTCCATTTTATTCAGCTGATGAAACATGTCAGCAAGAAATTCCACCTTATTCAAAACCAGTCTCTGAGTATATGGCTCCCACACAGTCCCTTGCTGAAGAAGAAAAGCAAAACATGCAACCACTTATTCCCCAGTCTGCACAATCAGAGTGTAAACATGGAAGTCCACCACATGATGAAAAAGAGTTGCAAAAAACTTGGCTCCGTTCACCTAAAACAGCAAGCTTGAAGGCAGTGCAGTCAGAAAGTATGTCTCTAACACACACACAAGACCAAGATGAGCAAGAATCTCAAGATCTTTTGTTGGACACAAAATATTTATCATCAGAGCAGCTAAGAAGTCCCCCCAAATTCACTACTGAGCAGGATAAGCAAGAAATGCTGCCTGATGTACAGACAGTGCCAAGGTCAGTGACCACAGAGCTGAAGGTGGCTGCTGTAGCAGATGGGCAAGCAGTGTCATCAGATTCACTTGTACCTTTTGATACACTACATGAGAAGTCAGTATCAGTGGCTTTCACTGATGATGAAGAGAAACAAAATATTCCATCATCTTTGTCTGGTGTAGTAGGCATGCTTGGAAAGCAATCTAACATACTTTCAGGCATTTATACTGAAGGAGAGTATAGACATGAAATACAACGATATTTTGCAGACCAAAAGCATACATCCTTAGAGCATCCGGGAGCTGTTTCATCAGATCTTGCTCATGAAACTGTGACACAAAAACTTGAGCTTTATTCTGGTGAACAGGGCAGCCTTTCTTCATCAGAGATGAAGTCTGTTAGCTCTACTTCTGATGAAAAGCAGAATTCAGATATTCCACCTTTTGGGCTAGCTAGCTGGCTGGCAGAAGAGGTGAAATCTTGCTCAATTAGTCCAATAAGAGCTGCAGAAGAAGACAAGCAAGGAATTCAGCTCTCTCCAAATGAAGCTTCTGATTTTGAATCAAAAAAATTCCCAGCTGGAAGCTGCACAGAACTTACAGTTGGTGGTACTAGAAAGTACAAAAGACACATATTTAAAGTTTCTGATTCAGAGTCAAGTGAAATTTCTCACAGAATGTCCTCAGACACTGGTGACAGAACGCAAAGGTATGATGTACGATCTCCAGCAGGAGATAATCCAGGTCCAGACAAAGTTTCAGAGCGTGAAACTAGCATTGGAAACCCTACAAAAATGGAAGCAATGCAACATCTGGGGTTAGACAAAGTGTCTGAAGTGCCTGAACATTACCTGAGAGGAGAAGAGGAAGAAATGGAGCATGCGAGTACTGTAGAAGACAGTCAGCATGCACCAGAGACTACTGAACAAAAAGATCTATTTAATATAATTTCAGAAGGTTATGAAATACTCAATATTCATGCTTCTACATGTATTTCTTCTGTTGATCAAGAAGAAAGTAAGCACATGCCAGATAAATTAGAATACTTGGAAACAAATCCTTCACTTAAAAGAAAATTAGCTGATGATGGCCATAGAGCCCTAGCTTCTGGAACAACCACAGAAATTTCAGAAAGCTCAATGCTGGGAAAGCCTGCAAGCCATGAATTAAAAGAATTGGTCAAAAATGATGATGTTGAGGGAATTGGAGAAATACAACAAGAAAATCCCATGTTGCCAGAAAACAAGAACAATGCAGTGTTGGATCCTAAGAATGGTATGGCCGATATGGACTATTTTGAAAAATATACATTGATTGATGATAAATCCCCAATTAAGCCACATTTTGAAAGACCAAGTTCATTGTTTCCTGTGACAGAAGATCCCAAAGAACCTGTGGAAGAAGCCACAACTTCTAAAGAAAGTGCTGAGGTAGATACTTTGGAAGAAGAGTTTTCCTTACTTGAGGACCTGGATGAAGTCTTTTATGGTACTGTGAAAGGAGAAGACAAAATGCAATCCTATGCAGATGCTCCAGACCCTTTACCTCTGCAGAAATCAATTGATATTAGCAGTAAAAAGATTACAAATGTAGAAGATGAACAGAAGTCACCAGGGACCCCACTCTTTGATTCAGAAGAAGGGGTGCTAGAACGATCTCTGTTGTTCCCTACAACTGTTGCTGCAGTTAATCCAGAGCTTCTAGAGGAGCCCCCTGCTCTGTCATTTTTATACAAGGACCTCTATGCGGAAGCAGTAGGAGAAAAGACAAAGGATGAGACTCCCTCTGATGAGGAAAGTGGTAATTCTAATGTGTCTTTCCATAGTAGAAATTCAGACACAGATGATGGAACAGGAGTATACTTTGAAAAATATGTTCTTAAAGATGAAATTCTAAGTAAGGCCATAGGGCCTCGAAAGGACCAGATACCAGAGGATGAGTCCTTTAGTGGAGTAATTTCAGTTCAGAGTTCGGAGGACAAACACAGGCAGGGGTCTGGTGATGTTGAATGTGTCAGAACTGAGGATCTGCCAGAATGGGGTGTTGTGGAGAGAGAGAAAGTCCAGGTTGATAGTGACATTCAAGCAACAATTTGTAAACCAATGCATGCCATTCCTTTTGGAAGCAAAGTAATTCTTTCAGGTGCAATAATTGATACCACTGAACAAAGAGAAGAAGAAAATGTACCTGTAGAAACAACTGAGGAGTTGCCAGAGCAATCAAGTCATCAAGCGTATGGTCAAGTAGTGGATTATCAGGGAGCTGCATACCAAGAAGCTGGTAATAAGCAGGAAGAAAAGCATGACATAACAGCAGTTCCTCAAATGGAAAAATATGTCCCATATGTCAGGACTCCTGTTGAAGACAGTGAAGATGATCAGTATACTCAGGAAAATCTTTCCTGTGTCCCTACCATTCAGCAAACAGAGAAACCAGACATGCAAAGAGAGGAACACCACCCTGATGTTTATGAAGATCTCGCTGTATCAATGGACTATGATGTGATTACACAAGAAGAACTTTTGCAAGATGAAATATCATCTCAATTAACACACGAGGAGCTATTATTTGAAGAAAGGGACTCTTTTGATCATGCTGGTGATAGTTATGAATTTGTTAATGAGCCAGAGCAAAGAACACCTGTTGAGCTCGAAGATTCAGGTTTTGTGGTGATGTATCCTGAAAAATCAGCAACAAACGTTCCTCAAGTTGAGAGCCCACAAAAAGAACCGAAGAAAGCGCAAGCAGACACATATTGTTACCACTGCAAATGCCCAATATCTGCTATTGACAAGCTTTTTGGAGAACATAAAGACCATGAAGTCACAGCACTAGATGATGCTGCAACCAAGATGAAGGTAAGACTCAATTTGGGTGAGGGAAGAAGCTACTGAGGCTAATTTCTCCAGACCTCCTGTGTTGTTGGGAGAGAGGCTTCAGAGAGCAGTCCACAGGCTAAATCACATTGTTTATAAAATAAAAACTATTCCTAAACATCTGTTAGAGATGATGAAGGGACACTCTCTTATTAAGATATTCTCTACAGTACTAGGCTTGCTAAGCTGATATTTTTGTTTGTTCAGAAGTTTGAATGACCTTGTCTATATTGTAGCTTTTACCAGACTATCCGTCTTTTAGCCTTCTTATCTGTGTAAGTTTGTTCTGGTTTGTATGTGTAGAGGGAGAAATGGGAAGAGTGTTGTTTCCATGAAAAGAAAATTTTAGTAACAGCAGCTCGTTTCACTTCACGAAGTACAGAAACCTCCATATGTGAGGACCAGGATCATTATAAAGTTCTCCCTGTCCCAGTTACATGTGTTGGTTGCTCACAGATGTTAGAAAAGTTACACAGTTTACACTACATACTTTTGTTGAAATGGCATCCTCATTTTCTGTTCAGTTCATGTTCATCTGTGCTAATGGTGTTTTAGCTGCAGTGCAGGTAGCAGCTTCGCAAGTCCTACTTCTTCCCACTATCTCTAAGCTGTATCACTCTAAAAGACAGGTGAAAATGCCCTTCATGATAGTCCTCTGCTGGAAATACTAGTGAAAATGCTTTCATTTCTATGGAAGTCATTCTTCATTAGATTGCAGTTCTGCTTGTGAGAACAGCATGCATGTGATGTCTCATTTTTCCCATCTTAGATTTGTTAATGTACAAGTATACAGATGTTCCTTTTTTGGTTACCAGCTATTTAATCTCACTGCAGTGTCTGAAAAATGAGGTCTCTTTCCTGGCACATGTTCAGTTGATGGTAATACTAATTTTGTGTAAATTCACTACAATTCCAGCAGAGTTTGTATGGATGGTATTCATGTGATTTTTATGTTAACTTATATGCAAAAAAAAGAAAACAATAGTAGGAGGAGTCAATGTGGCCGTTTCAAATATCAGTATTTACAAACCATCTCCATGGTGTGCAGGTATATGACAGCAGAGTTGCCTTTTATATATGGCCATTCATGCTTGACTTAGAAGTGATAATTAGCCATCAGTAAGTTAGTAATAAAGTCACAGACCCCAGCCATCCTTTGAATGTACCTGCTTTGCAGTGAGTCCAGTTAAGCCACAAATAAACATCCCATGATATCACTCCCTGGCTGTGGAGCACGGACACGAAGCCAGTATTCAATCTGACCACAACACAGGCTTGGCTTCACATGACTTCTAGCGCTCAGGGCTCAGGTCACTCTGAGATGGCATTTGTATGTTTCTTGTTGTTTCTGTATAATTAACAAGAAAACATTAAGACAGCAAAATGCTTGTTGCTTGAATTTTAATTGTAGAAACGTAGCTTCACTGTAAATGAAAGGAACTATGGATGACACCTGTCAGATTCTACATGTTATCTTGGCAAAGAGAAGTTTGCCTCTGAATTTTGGTGATTGACCCTAAATATTTATAAAATGAGCTTTCAATTTTACAGGCCAATGTGACATTTATAATTAATGGAAACTCATATGCTAGTTTTCAACATATCTAGCTGTAGAATTTTGCCATAATAGGAAGCTGTTACCAAAGGAATTTAACCTTCCTTTTAGATTTATACCAAGTAATTAACACTGAGTATTTTCATAAATTATAAATTACAAATTGCACCTGAGCAAATGTCCAGCTTGCTTTCACAAAAGGTCAAGAAGGACTAAGAAAAAGTTCTGAGTCGTCTCTGATGCCTGTTGTCCCTTGGACTGCTTTTTTTTCCACATCCAATTCAACTGCTGTTTTTGACAAATTCTGGTTTATAGGAAATACCTTTAAAATTCTGATTTAAAAAATCATGACACTGCATTATCTATTAGCCTCATAATTACCTGCATTATCTTCCTTTTTATGGGCTTGTTTCTGTGATCTCTTGAGGACCCTCATGAGGCTCTGAGTACCCTCAACCTCTGGCAAAGCTGCACTGGAATCCATAACAATCAACAGCTTGTACAGACACTCAGCATCTTGTTGAACTAAGCTTACTCTTTTTGCTTTGGAAACAATTGTGTGTCGGTTCCAGTTGCTATTTCTGTGTTTGTCTTTGTAGCCAGGGAGATACTTGAACTTAATTTAGCAATTGTTCTAATGGTGGCTCATGGCAAAACAAAAATATTCACCTAAAATAAGTTGCATGTAAAATCTTTATGAAATATGCTTATGTTACTGAAACATTTTAAATTTCAGGATCAGTTAAGTGAATTGCTAATAGCACTGGAAGAAAAGTCGATGAAGATTGAAGAGTTTGTGAGTGATATTGAATTGCTGTTTAACACTGTTGAGGTAAGTCCAGTGGTTTTCGTTTTCTTTCCCTCTTTGAAATTACTTCTAAAATATGCTTGCCTTGTTTTGTAGCATCATTACTTCCACTAAAATGGGCTGTTTCTCCAGTCCTCAAATTGACTTCTCCCACTGGAAGGTGCTAACTTTAGAAGAAGATTGCTTTTTTTGCACATTATTGCAGAGTGGAATATGTGACTGCCAAGCACTGAAGGAAAAGGTTGCCTTAAGTTTATAGGTGTAAAAAACTCACATTGTTTTCTGTCGTTATTTAGAATCCTGTGTGAAGCATCTGAATGAGTTGCCCAATGTCTTAAGTTCTTAATGTCCGAGTTTTTAAGCCTTGAGGACTGTATTAATTTCAGTTGAAATATGGATTTTTAGCTATTTTGTAGTCAGACTTTCTGTCTCAGAGCTTAAATATAGAAGTTTAATTTTAAACACTAACAATGAAAAAAAAAATCTGCCATTGTTTTTAATATATTTCTCTAGCATTATTTCTCCCAGATGAGCTTGCTTACAGAAATAAAGTTCTCTTATTGTCAGGATCCCAGGAGTCTGGTGGATGGCTCCTGTATGGGTAATTCAGAATTTCTGTGTATTCATTAAATATTGTAATTTTATTCTGCAGATCAATTTACATTTGTTTTTATTTTGCAGGAAAACTGTAAGAAAAATGCAGAGTTATTAGAAAAGCAGAATGAAGAGATGCTTAAGAAAGTGGTAGCACAGTATGATGAGAAATCAGAGAACTTTGAGGAAGTGAAGAAGATGAAAATGGAGTACCTGTATGAGCAGATGGTTAACTTCCAGCAAACTGTTGATTCAGCAAAGGAAACTTTGGAGACAACAGTAAAAGAAATGGAAGAGCTTGATGGATTTGTCTTCCTAAACGTGAGTAAAAATGGCTTTCATCTTGTAGTTTTTCTGATACTAGTTAGGAAAGCACTTGTACTGTACCTAGGCTGAGAATGAGTTATTTACTTTCCTCTTTTTTTTTTTTTTTTATATCTAAATCCGGCAAGCTCAGCTATTCCACTCTGAAACTGCTTTTGTTATGTGAATGCTGAGAGAGAATTGCAAAGATGATGCACAGGATGAAAACATGACCTATACCATTAAAATGGTTCTGTTTTGTTTTGTGAAGAGAAGACTAAGAGACAGTTTAATAATTTATCTAGAATTAATTATCCACTAAGGAATAAGAAATGTTAGAGTAAAAGGTACTTTACTGTATGAAAACAAAGATGAAACAACAAAGTGTAACTGAAAATTATCCAAAGCAGAGTTGTTGCTAGGCTGTGGGGTTTTTGTGTTTTGTTTAAATGAGCAGACACAGACAGTAGTTCTGCACTCATATTATGAGGCTGTGATAAATGTTTACTGCTGAAAAACAGTGAGCAGCTGTGTGGTGAAAATGCGATAATGGGCTAGGTTTAGGAATGTGCATGTTAGGTGCATGGCTGTAATGGTCCTTTCTGGATGCAAAAAAAATCCCTTGTGAGTCTGGATGACTGGAGATACCTAGATCATATAGTCCTCAGTCGTAACCAGACAGGTTTCAGAGGGTCTTGCATGTTAATGATTAACGGTCTCCAAGATTGTTCTTGTGCTGCAAGACTTGTCTGTAAGTGAGCTGTGGCACCTTCTGCTCAATAGAAGCATATCAACAGTTGTGAAGCGGATGGGTTTTCTGGGACAACAATCTTCTCTCATTAAGGAATTAGTACATAGTCTGGAAGTTGCAGAGATCCTGGGAAGCAAGAGATGAAATGTTCAAATTACTGTCTAAAGGCTGTCATTCATGCAAAATAAAGCAGCTTTCCAAATACAAGCCAGCAGCCCGTATATCAGCAGTTATAGAAATGGTGGAGCAATGTTTGTCTTTCTCCGCTGGTCCAAGCTGTGCAGTGTCTTAGTATCCTGTAACCAAGTGAATGCTGTGGCACATTGGCCATTTCGGGATGGATGAAGAATATAGCTTATTTTCCTCACCTTTGTGACGTACTGGATCAGTGCTTTGGCAGAAAGATGACTTTGTAAGCTGAAATTCTTTTGTGGGGTGTGAAAAATATTAGATTCCCTGCCCCTTTCAGTTAGTGATAAAGGGCGGGAACTTTTCTGTCCATGAGCCAGGAATCTTAGCTTTAGCTAAAGATTCATGGCATGGAGCAGCTGAGAAGATCTCACTCCTTGGGTACAAATCTCACCAATCTCTTCTAGCAATAAGAAGTTACGAAGGAGATTTCAGCCAGAATTTGGATTTAAGTGTACTTAATGTGCAGGTGATTTCTTTCTGTGAAAGCCTTGGTTTAAGAAACTAATTGACTGTGCTCTGGTCTTTAAGTCTGGTTGTTGAATACTGACCCCTCAGGAGCTTAAAACCGGATTTAGACTCTAACAGCCTGCTGGGCCAGAGCTTTGAAGTGGAATGTTCTTAAGGAACAAAATTCTCTGGTGGTGTGAATGAACAGCATCCCAGATAACATCAGGTTAATAAAACCGTGTGTATTTTACGTCTGTGGAGAGTAGCAAGACTGGTAGATGAGTAGCTCTTCAATATTTTCAGCGTTTTGAAAACTGTTAATATATTTCTTTTTTCCCTCCTCTAGTCATCTAAAGAATTGAATAAAAGGTATGTGAAGTATGAGTTAAGTGCACTGTAGTGAGTACTATGCCTAGCATGCTGGATGCTTCATTTAGTATTTGCAGGCTTTGAAAACACACTGCTAAATTCATAGCTACTTTTATAAACCTTGCAAAGAATGAAATTAAGAGAAGAGGTTTTGTACTTGTTGCTGTAACTGACTGGTTTTGAAGTGTTTTGCACGTGTTCTGTTATACATCAGTTAAACAAGTAGCATTTTAAAATGTCAGCTCAATTTTAAATCTCTACACAGATGTTTTTAAACAGATGTTTCTTGTAGTTATTATTATACACAGGTATACTAAAAAAACCATTTTGACCATGCTTCCATCTCTTAGATGTCACTGTTATGTTCTTTTTTCACTTGTCTAGTTCTGTATTACCTGGTCTTTGAAAGGTTACAATGCAAAGTGTCACTCACATGGCCGGGGTTGTTGGGCTACATTGCTGAATGCAATTCCAGAAAAAAATAAGATTAAGTAGCTTGCAAAAGCTTATCAGGAGACCATGGGCTGATGTTTTCCCATGCCTCTTCATCGGCACTGCCTGATTCAGAATGTATCAGAGGGCTGGTGCCTCAACACAGCTGCATCCTGGCCCGCCTGCACATGCCAGTATATACATACAATTGCAAACAAGTCTCTGCTTTTGGTGACTTCCTCAAGGAAGTCATTTTGGTCAGACCCATCCATTACGAGAGAAGTGTTCGATTATAAGCCTGTATTGCCCCAACAGATTTTCCAAGCTGAACTGCGAATATTCAGAGAGGCTGGCTGCAGGCTTCTCCTGTGCAAGCCCCAAAACCTACTTTGGCCACACCAGCAGCGCTCCCTAAAGTGCCTGGGCGTTGTACAGTGCATATCACACATACCCTTGTCCCTGCTGCCTCAGCCATCACAGCGGTAAGTGTGCTGACATGGACTGGGGTATAGCAATGACACGAGGGTTCCAGTCTGTGATCAAATTACAACCCCGGGAGAGTGGTCTGAAGAGAATGTGCCAAACGCCCCTTCATGGTTCCCATTAATGTGCAGAATTAGGACTATAATTTTGGACTCGCCTGTTGTAAGTCAAAATGTGAGAGTCTGACCACATATCTGCCTGTAGTTTATTGTGTAAGGATAGAGCAAGTATAATGGGACAAAACAATTTTCCAAGGTTTTCTGTATACTTGGTCTAGCATACTTACACACTAAACCTAAAGTTTATTCTGTTTTGTGCACGGGTTTTGTTATTACTTTGCTTTGATAATATCTGACTTGCTAAAAAAGGTTAAGAACAAGTCTATATAACAATGCTTGTTTTTCTAAAGAAAGTATATTTTATATTTGTTGTGCTTTGTTAAGATTATGCATAACTAAATACTTTGGTGACTGAAAAGAAAGAAAGGGAGAGAAAATTCAGTTGCCTTGAGAAAAAAAATCTTTCATTCCCTTGAAGCTGCTTCTGCCTCAGAGTTAAAAATATGTTGGGTTTTTTTCCTATGATGCACTCAACAAATATGCACTAATTAAGTGGAATCTATCTTCCTTCTCTTTTTTTTTTTTGCTTGCCACAAGCAGCTGCTTTACATTATGTCTCTGGAGTCAGCTGCTGTAGTTTAGCTCTAAGGTTTGTAACCTTTAAAGGCACTGCATTAGTAAGTCCAAACCCCTGTGCTCTTGGGAGTCTTGCTGTGAACTTCAAATCCTCATGTTCTCAAGAATCAAGGGTGTACAGACCGCGTGCACTCTCACCGTGCTGCTAATCTGAAATTGCAGTATGCTCTAAATGTTTAAAATGAGGGAAACAGCTTCTCCTTGCATGTTGTCTTCAAGTTCACGTGAAATATTCAGAGAAGTGTATGTCGCATGGTCTTTGCTTCTGAAAGCTATGTGATGCCACAAGGGATTCACACAGACAGCCATGTGTTTTCTTCCAACTAGGTTACTTTCTGCAATGGATACTACTCTCTCTTTAGAAAAGGTGCCCAGTGCTTTTTCACTGTTTGAGCACTACATGGACAGTCCAGGACAAAGCAACCAGCACTCCTTAAAACATGTGGCTGGTAAGAATCTCTGAATATCGTCTTCACAAAAGCTAATGTTCTAGCAATGCTTTGGAAATTTTAGGAAGCTAAAAACAGAATCTATTTGAGCAGCATAAATTTGCAAACCATGTTAATTAGCCATCAGAGTTGAATGTAGAATGAAGTCTAATTGTGCACAAGTGTTTGGCTTATCGTAGGACACCAAGATGAGCAACAGAGGGAAATGTGCTAAAGTGGGGGATTCTTGCATCATTTCAGATATTTGTACCTCAGACTAGGAGAAGATGTCTGTCTGTAAATCTCCCAGGGCTAAAGAAGTTGTGTTCCCTTGCAGGCAGGGAAAGAAGAGGCAATGAAACGGTCTCCTGAGCTCTCCTCCTCCAAGGGGGGCAGCCCCAGCATCGCTGGTGTGGGGAGGAGAGCAGGGGGCTGGCTGACGGCCAAGGTCCCAGGGCTTGTGCCAAGGGAATGGAGGCACCTGAAACCCCCATGGGATGTGAAGGGAAAATGGGTAGCTGTAGCCGGAAACAGCCTTTGCTGCGGAGGGCAGCAGTGAAAATTGTGCATGAGAAGTGGGTTTGTTCACCTCTATCTGATATTTCATGAACTGTAAAAAGCCTGCCTGTGTGGGCTTTCTGCTCTGCCTGTACGTGCACCTATAGAAATTATCTGGATCTGGACAGCTGTCAGTGAAGAGTTTCTGTTGCCTAATGGGACACTGGAGATGTGCCATCTTGCGCAGACTCTCCGGTATGTAATAAGAGCCGAGTGAACTCTGCGTTGTCGCTATGGGGAGACCACCTCTCTTCTCCACACCACTACTTTTATTAGACCTAGAGGAACTTAATATCTCTGAGACCTTAACTGCTTTGTCACGTTTGTATGATTTTGCCTGTGGCAGTCAAAGCTTCGCAGGTGAAGTTGGACAGGCACTTGTGCATGCAGTGTTATCTCAGTGTTGTTTTTTTAGGAAGTCAGAAAGATCGTTTTTGTAACCCACTCTGTCAGAGTTAACTTAGTGGTGCAAATGTGCTGTGTGTCTTGGTTTAGTTCATAAACTTCCTTTTGCAGTCCCATGGGTACAACCATGCCTTCCTCCTGGGCTGCTACCTACTGGCAAGGTCATCCGGGAGGACAGACTTGTTTTGTCATGCTGTATTTCCTTTTCCCGCAAGGCACTCCAACATGTTTTTCCCTAAACTGCTGAGATCAGCTCTTCGGTTTGATTTACACTAGCTACTGTGTTTGCTGAACACCAGGTGACTCCAGACCACTTTGCGTTGACAAACTGGAAATGAATGACTGTTCACTAGCAAGCGACCTTCAAAGCTCCTCATCCTTTATACTTTCTTCTCTTTCTAAAATACCTGGTTTTCTTTCGTCACTTCCACTACAAAGTATTTCAATCACTATTGTGATTTTTACTTTGGTAAGCAGTAGACAATTTTTTTTCTCCCAAGATTGCACCCTTCCCAAAGGAAAATAGAGGTAAATGCCTACATGAAGGTTTATTTGGAATTGAACGCCTTGAGTACATTATTTGTAACATACTGCAGGCAAATGCCAGACACTCAGAATTTTTTTCTACTCAAGCCATTTGATGAAATACATGTGAATTTGCAATGTTTCTTCAATCCACATATTTTTCCTTCAGAAAGTATAGTCTTTTACTGAACAATTTCACAGAACTTTATTTTCACCACTTCAGAAGCGTCTTCCCTTCAAAATGTCCTCCATTTTCAAGTTTTCCATATCCACTAATGAAAAGCCCTTTTCCCTCATATTCTTCCTCCTTTCACGTAAGCCACCCACAGGAACAAACACATGAGCATAAAAAAACCCTTGCAGCATGCCATTGAGCATATTGGAACCCAGGCTCTGCCACAAGAAGGGTGGGAATAATTTAAAAATCATAAAATTATTAATTCCAAAGCCTGCCATGAGCCCTGCCTGTTTATACCAGGAAGCAAGGACCTTTGCTGGTTGTAACAATCTTCTATTAAAGTCACAGAGCTCATAACTGCTGTCCTTCTAGTCCACCAAGCCAAGGAATTGTTATTTCTCATTACATTGTAAAGGGGAAAATATCCATGAAACATTTGGGATTATTAATTTTTCACCCTGGGGCTGTGGAGATCAGGTAGCATGAAGGAAGAACTTCTGTACACCACCGCACTTCAATGAAAACCAAACTGGCGAGAAGATGTCACACATTTCTGTTGAAAAATATGCTTTAGTCACACTTGTGGTCCAAATATCTCATTTCTTTGACTAAAATTCATTTAGAAAGGGACGAGTGTTTTGATGACTCATAAATGTTCTGTTTCCAAAGAAAATAGTTTGACTTCTTGCTTTGATATTACTTCCTTTCAAAAGTTTATTTCATATTGTGCAAAAGAAAATTAGAAATCAATGTTTCTCAATGTTACCAAGCTGAATTTTGATCCATAATTTTTTTTTCAGAAGTTTCATTCATTAAGCTAGCTTCTGTTCAGATTTGGCATAATAAGAAATCTTGCAGTTATGGGGTTTCTATGATCATAAATCACAGTTTCTAGGCAGCTTCACAGGAAAAAAACCCCTGGTTTCCCCACCGTGTCCACTGAAAGGAAGTCTTGTCCTAAGACTGTAAGTTTTTAAATTGACTAGCTCTAGATGTAGTCAAAAGACAAAATGCAGATTGCTTTTAGCAGTGAGAAGGATGTTTTTTTTCAATGGGAAGCAGATGTAATCCTACTGTACTGGTAGTTCTCTGTGTAAATCATAAGAAAAGAGACAGCATCTGCATTTGCCTTGTTCATACCACAGGGGATCAACATCATTACTGTGAAGATAACTGGAAAGAAAAGCAAAAGCTTTCTGCTGAGATTCTAAGAGAATTCATGCAATATGGAAATTTACTGGGAGAAGAAATAGAACCATGTATTTTCATTCCCTGCAATCACTTGAAAATGAACATTTTTTGGGGCTTTTTGCTTCTTTTTTTCCCCTCCCTCTCTTTTAAGCTGTCATTGTAGAGGGGAACAATACCTCATCAGGGATGGATCTGTGCCAATCGGCAGACAAAGTTTGTATAATATCTGGGGAGCCTTGGAGATCTATGAAGCAGTCTTTGTGAGGGTTGCTCCAGGTTGTCGCATGGGGTTCAGGTGCTTTGGCAGAGCTTAGGTTCACCTGCGCACCAAAGATTCTCTGTCCACTGGGTCTGTGGGGAAAATGACCATGCCAGGCAGGAGCACCTAGCTGTGCACCTGCAGCAGGAGTCCACTGCAGAGCAGGGGTGGACCCGAGGCTGCAGGGAGCGGAGCCTCTGGCTCCCCAGTGCTGGTAGAGCCTTCCTTTACCTAAAGCACATCCCTGCCGGTGTCAGTGTGAGTGGATTCGATACACTGCATGAATCCTTTCCAGGTGTGGCAGGTCCTTTCCCCTGCCCACATTTCTGAGATCAGCTACTTACATCTGTCTCTGGAGGAAGCTTCCTTCTTCTGCAAGCTCCCTCTCCACATCAGTGAGCTACCCCCTGCTGTTTGCTACAAACAAGTGCTTTTAGTCTCTGCTTGCGTGGACACCCTCTTCACAGGGTGTCCTCTCCTGTGGTGCCTGTGCTGCAAGGCAAGGTGAAGTGATGGAGAAGGTGGTTACCCAAAGGATTAGGCTCCAGGGTCTTCTGGTCTTTCTGAGGAGGTGGCCTGAAGATATCAGGAGTCTTTGGGGTTTCATCAGCACGTGTGCCTCAAAGTGGAGCACAGAGCTAGAGAGCTCTCCCTGTGACTGAAGGGAGCAAGTCTCTTGGGGAAAGGAGAGCAAGCACTGGAGCTGTACGACAGCTCTGCATGTCTAGGATCACCACAGCCCTGGGACCCTTCCCTGGTGGAGGTCTGAAGCGAACAGCAGTGCCATAAGTCATCTACATGATGGTCCTGCTGTACGGGGAGGGACGGCAAGAGCTGGGTGGGCACATGCAGATGGTTTCAGTGCTAGGACTGGATCTTATTTTGTCCAGACTGTCAGGGAAATGGACAGATTCCAACTCTGAGCAATTACTTTTTTCTGTTCCTAGTTTAGGAGGACCTATGGCTATAAAACTGAACCAGTATTCCATATTTCATGTACTTGCTGTACTTGTTCTGTGGAAATAAGCAACCTGAGTGAAAATAAGCAACTGCATTGCCTTGCAAACCTGCATGTTATTTGGCTGAAAATACAGGAGTGAGAATAATGACAGAAGACTTTCCTCTCAGTCCCACAGACACCAACTGTTGTACCCCAGGAACCAAACTCAGCCACCAGCACCTCTATTGCCATCTACTGGGCTGTGAACGATGGGGACACCATTGACTGTTTCCAGGTCTACTGTATGGAGGAGCCACAAGCCAGCAAAGATGCAGGGGGTGCGTAAGGTCCTGCCTTCATGATGGTGGATGTTCTTTCTTCTCTGGTCTGGGATCAGCAGAGGAGAGGCCAAGCTGCGTGGGAGGGCCCAGGATGCAAAGGGAAGAGGGGCTGTGAAAACATCACGTGTAGGATTAAAGATGGGTAACAGTGGAGGAGAGCGTGAGGTAGATGCCTTTCCTTCTCCTTCCCTTCATCCTCCAAAATGCAAGATAAATAGAACAGTCTGTAAAGTGCAGGTCAGTTGTTTGCAGAGAAGCAGCAACATCATTGCTGAATTGTGCTTTTATGAAGTGGCCTGACCTTCATAGAGGATGTGTCCATGCTGCCCCATGGTTGCTCATGGGGACTGCAGATAGAGCTCCCTAAGGGATGGGCTTCATTAGATTTTTAGGGCCCTGTAAGTACTTTGGAAATGTGCCCTAATAAAAAAATTACAGGAAAAGGCAATCGGTATTTCCACAGTATCTCCACATGTAGTCAAAGATTTTTTTCAAAATGACATTAAAATATTTTGAATGTTGACTATGAAATTGAGAAAAGAGGATTCATTAAAAAGCACTGACTGATGGTAAAGTCACTTTAAGCAACAGGGCTCTGCACAAATCCATGTATGTATGTGGGTGCATGCTAAAAGATGCTGAGGGCTTTTTACAATAGGTGATTTATAACTAAGGGCTATAAAGTCCGTCATTAGAAATTGTCCTGTTACAGAGCGGTGAAACCAGGGTTGATAACTGCTGATTGTACGTCCCAAATTTGCAGACTACTCCCCAGCAGGACTGAGGGTCATAATCTCCCGTTGCCATCAATGGGGTTTGAGTGCACTCAACTCAAGGGCCCATCAGAAACTTTCTGTCAAAACTGAGTCAGAGTAAAATATGGAGCTCTTAGCTAGTAACGCTATCTGGATTTTTTTAATTGACCATTTTTTGCATGTTAGTTGTGGCCAGTAGGTCAAGGGAGGTTCTCCTTCCCCTCTACACTGCCCTAGTGAGGCCCCATCTGGAGTACTGTGTCCAGTTCTGGGCTCCCCACTTCAAGAAAGATGAAGAGCCACTGGAGAGAATCCAGAGGAGGGCTACGAGGATGGTGAGGGGCCTGGAGCATCTCTTCTACAAGGAGAGGCTGAGGGAGCTGGGCTTGTTCAGCCTGGAGAAGAGAAGGCTGCGAGGGGACCTCATAAATGCTTATAAATATCTGAAGGGTGGGTGTCAGGAGGATGGGGCCAAACTCTTTTCAGTGGTGCCCAGCGACAGGACAAGGGGCAATGGGCACAAACTGAAGCACAGGAAGTTCCGTCTGAACATGAGGAAGAACTTCTTCCCTCTGAGGGTGACGGAGCACTGGAACAGGCTGCCCAGGGAGGTTGTGGAGTCTGCTTCTCTGGAGATATTCAAGACCCGCCTGGACAAGGTCCTGTGCAGCCTGCTGTAGGTGACCCTGCTTCGGCAGGAGGGTTGGACTAGCTGACCCACAGAGGTCCCTTCCAACCCCTACCATTCTGTGATTCTGTGAAAGGCACAATTGTAGGGCCTACCAGTGCGACATGTGTGATGTCCTGTGCATGTGTGTGTTCCTCCCAGGTCTGGTGGAAGAATACAGAGTGACGGTGAAGGAGAGCCACTGCATTCTGGAGGACCTCGAGCCAGATCGCTGCTACAGTGTGTGGGTCATGGCTGTGAATGGCACAGGCTGTAGCTTACCCAGTGAAAAATCCATTTTTAAAACAGGTATGTACATGTTTTGGCATCCTCAGACCAGTTCTAGTCCATAGTGTTACTGAATCACAGGAAACTGCTTCAGTTAGCCTATCTGGCAGACAGGAGGCAATCAGTCACAGTGGTGCCCCTTTTTGCTAAGAGATAGCGGCATAATTGTTCCTGGGAGGAGGCTTGCAATCATTCAGATTTGAAGACGTTTCCAGGCTCAGGCCTCGTGACCGAGGCGTTGGGGCAGCACATTATGAATTTCTCTTCTGAGTGCTCTGCAGTGCTCTGGGGCAGCTCTGGGAAAGCCACCCAGCTGCTCCCTGCTACTTCTCCGGTGGAAAATGGAGGCAATGGCTGCATTGCTTTGGCTCTCTGCCATCCTGCCAAATAAATCTACATTGCATTGGTTTAAATTATTAACTTTTCAAGGGAAAGCCTGCTTTACCGAGGTTACACACTGCGTCTAGCTCAGTGGGACACAAATCTCAGGTGTGGCTGAGAGGTTCTGCTGCTGTTTGTGTGGCATAAATTAAGATGAATATTTAGACAAATATTGTCTGTGAGCTTCATTTGACTGATTAATTTTTCTGAGCTTTTATTTCTTTAATAATTTGTATTAACAAAACTAGCTTTAATTTCTTTAATAATCTGTATTAACAAAACTATTGCTTCTTGAATTGTGAGCAAAGTGAAGCATCTTGTGTCTGAGGCCCTCTTGCCAGACACTTTTTTTGGTGCTACAGGATAAAAACAATCATTCTGTTCTTGCAGTCACAAAACACAGACAAGGGTATTTAACAATTTTGTAATGAGTTAACTTTGTACAACACTGACTGTATTGTTGAAATCACTTGGCAGCAACCACAGCTTCAAGGCTTTTGCTTAATCCACTAGACTTCAATTTTATTGATAATTCTACTTGATATTCAATTTGTTGTTCATATTTTTAGCAAAGATTATTTTCCAGAGCATTCAATGTAGAAATTCAAATTTTATGGCCTTAACAATGGAATTGTGATCATGGTGCAGAATTCCTGTGAAAAGGTCAAATAATAATGAGTTGTTATTAGCTAATAAATCATGATTTAAGAAGGGGTTCTCACCTCTCTGAAGTCATTATTTTTAAGAACTGTCTCTGCCTTTTGGCATCAAGTTCACCATTCTTTTTCCCAAAACTGAAGCCTTCTGAAGAAGTTAATTTTCTCAAGTCTTTGATGCCATCCATTGGCCTGTTTCTTTAAGAAAACAAATAAACTAAATCAAATGAGGCATGATTTAACACCTTCCTTCAAGCTGAGGTGAACTCCCTTTGGAGTGCACTGAGCCCCAGATGGACTTGTGGGGACACTGATGAGCACGGACTGATGCAAAACCGTTGCATCCCCATAACACCACAGGCAGATAGATGAGCACTGGTAATGGAAACCAGTTCTTCAGCGTGAGCCTAGCTACTTTGATATAAACCTAGAGTGCTTTGATCCTTCAAGTAGCCCAGTGAACTCAGAAGCAAGAATTTAGAGTTCATTTTCAGTAATTCAGATAAAAGTTGGCACATGCAAGAAAATAATCTGCTGCTACATGCAGTTACAGGAACTTACGCATTAATGGTGGACCAAAGCTGTGCCTCCTCCAGGAGTTGTGAACACCCACAAGGTTTCTCTGTTGGGATTACACCTGTGGACATGGCTGTGGGCCTGGGGAATTCTGGGGAGTGGAGGTGGGTGCTGCTGCACCATCCCCCCAGTACCTCCTGCCTCCTGCTCCTCCACCTCCCAAACTGTCCTCCCCTCCCTTGGGGAACGCGCTGTTTCCAAGCACTATTGTCTGTGACGGAATGGTGCTGAAGGCAGCAAGGATCCCTCTACCCACTCTCCTCCCTGTCCATCTCAGAATGACCTCCAGATGAAAACTCTTCGCAATCCTAAAGACATAGGGGTGAACGCAGCTTCTTCTGTTGTTCGAAACCTGTGTGATTCTCACCCTGTATCTGAGAGACAGAGTAATATCTTACCCTTTTTGGCTGTTTGCCTTTTATAAGATCACTTACATGAGTGCTGGAATACTATGAGGAAATCAGATATATATTCTAACTGCAGTTAACTCATTAAAAACATCTCAGAAGCACAGCAACAACTTTTTCTGGTATGCTCGCTCCGTCTACTCTTTAGATAAATAGTTTCAAATAAAATAAAAAAAGCTTGATGTCCTTTGGCACACTGTTCGCACATACGTGAATGTGGATATGTGTGCCAGTTGCTGAATGCAGGTATTAGGGGATTTAGCTTTTAATTTTTCATTCTTTAGGAACAGATGCATTTAAAACCAGACAATAATCACATATGTCAGAAGAGAATGAAGGGATTATTGCTAAGGGAGCTATGCAACTGTATTACCAGATGAGAATCTATCCCACAGATTCATTGTTCTCCTGAATACCTAGATTAGCTGTTCCTGTAGTAAAACATCGAGTACGTCTTAACCTGAACTGCTGACCTCCTGATTTTCACTAAACCAGGAAATTGATATGTACTTGTGGGTGTTTTTCTTTCCTTTTCTACCAGTAAAAAATTATTTTTCTTGCAAAACAGAAAGCATCTGGAATGCTGTTTGCAGTTCTATAAGATTATCTTGTGATAAAATTGTCTAATTTCTACTTTTGTTTCACTCCTCCTATTTCGAATCCAGTCTCTTTAAAAGCAAACAACTTTCTCTGATCTTTTATTAATTAATAACCTTTCTTTTAGGGATTGGTACTAGGACTGTTTATATGAGTTTCAACAACAGGTCTTAAGGTTGGCTGATGTTGCTGTTCCCTGGAAAGCGAAAGAGCAAATGAATACAACTAATCCATTTTCAGCCTAAGATGTTGGATGTGCAATGTCACACAATTGCTTTTGATTACTTGCATTCAGTGCAGTATTTTACATTCCATTGCAGTTGAGCCTGTAGTTCTTAAATTGACGCTCTAAAATGAGAAATTACAGGAACAAATTTTAGCATTGCAAAAATAAACAGGACATAATTAAGCACAAAGTCAGCATCTCCCCATCAGTTCTACAGCAGCACATTTGTTTCTGATGCAGTTCATGCAGGGACTGCTGAGCACAGGATTAAGGTGATGTAGGGAGACCTGTAGACAGTACTGACTTAGTGCTCTGCTCCTAGAAGATTGGTAGAAATGAGGAAGACGTGCTAGAGAATAGTCGTAAAAATCTACATGGGGTTCTAAGGATGTGCAGAAATGCACAAATATTCACAGTGACTTTCCCAGGGTGGGGTTTTTCCCCCCCACAATGTAACCCTCTGTGATCAAAATGCAGACAAGCAAAAGATCACTGCTGCATGGGCAAAACTAATTATCCCATGTTTTTTTGGGGAGGTCACTCCTCCTTTCCCTCACGAGCATCCCCCTCCAGCCTCTGGCACTGTCCTCACAGTATAGCTAACTTCTCCCTGTGTCCTCAGCACCCGCCATCCCCACCATCAAGGCCGAGGACTGCACGGTGTGTTGGGACACGGCCACTGTCCGCTGGCGTGCCAGGTCAGCGTCGGCAGAGTCCTTCACCCTGGAGTACTGCCGACAGCACTCGTTGGAAGGAGAGGGTCTCAGGTCAGTGCCACGGTCGTGTGTGCCGCGCAGCTGGGTTAGGCAGCCGCTAATGAGCGTTGCCCAGACCGCGGGTCGTCTTGCAAGAGATTGTTCTGTCTTCAGCTGCGCGAGGAAGAAATCTGCTTCTGCGTGCTGAGGAATTTACAGGACGGACACTAATCTGTGAGATTAGGCTGAGACATAAAAGTACTTCCTTTTTGTTCTGCTTAACCAGGCAATCCCTTTCATATGGGGCCAAAACCCTGGAGACATTGCGCTGTATGCAGTCAAGCAGAAGTTGCAGGGCTCTGCTGGCTGGGGAAACAATCACTGCCCTGCCATGGCCCGGGACAGGGCAGCTGAGCTCCATGGGAAGGAGACGGATGGAGGACCCCAGCACAGCTTTGTGCTTTCTGGTGAACAAGATAGGAGCCAGCCTGGGGCATTGCAAGGGTGGTGCGGGTGTCCCAGTAATACTGGTGACCCATCTGCGCTGTCTGGATGCCTCTCAAAGCATAGTGGAGCTCAGCGCTGCCCAGCTGTGCCGGTGTGCCACAGGGGCCAAAGAGCAGCTTTGAAACTGGGGGTGGTGTCTGCTTATGCCACATCCGATCTGCTTTCCCTGACGCTAAGTCTGTGCTGCATAGAGGAGAGGGCGAGGAGGGATGTAGGCACCATTGAGCCATGAAACCATGCGCTGTGTTGAAATGCAGAGAAAATGATGTGGTGCTCTGTATGTCCTGGCTTCGGGTTTTTTGTTTGGTTCCTTTCTTAAAAACAGTGACAACAGTATTGCAGCAAAATGCAGTTGCAAAGGTCTGAGAAGCTTTGGGAGGTGGGGGCCTGACATGCCATATGGAACCCTGTGAAAGACCTGTGGCCCAGCTGAGTTTGTCTTCTTCACCTCCCGGGGAGCCTGATTAGGGTCCTTAGCTTGGGACTTGTTCATCTGGACGTCATGGAGATGTGGTAGAGAGGGAAGAGCTCCACCCCCTGCAGTCAAATTAGTTAAGTGGACTAAAGAGTTCACAGGTTTCTAGTAGACAAGTGTGACACTGAAATTGTATGCACCTTGCTCCTTGCAAAATTAGGCTAAAAATATGAAATAAAAAATTCTGCAGGGTTGGTAAATGATTTTTTCATGCAGTACCAGCGTGCTGCATTCATGCAATCAAGGAAATGCCCTGCCCAGCTCTTCTGCCTCTCGGAGGGTAGCCAGACCTGCTCCATTTCATATATATTTCATCAGGCCATCAGGTCACTGACAACCTGCCAGAGTCGCTGTTGGTCAGGAATAATGGAGCTGCTCCCAAAACCTGTGCTGTGTGTTTGCCCTCAGGTTTCTTTGCCGTTAACTGGAATAGCCTCTTTTTCTTGAAGCTGAACCAGAAAGTGTGCTGGTTTCTGTAATCTGTGAGCGAGGTGTCGATAACACCAAGCAGTTTGCCTGTGTGGTGATAACTGTGGCAAAAAGCTGCGAGAACTGACCCACTGCCTTTCTCAAGAGACCTTGTGGAAAATCTAACATGTTTATAGTTATAGTGAGTCGTATTTGACTTTTTGAGTGTCTCTGTGGGCAGAAGCTGGCTGTTTACTGTGACAAGTGTGAAAAATTCCCATGGGACATAATCATTAATTTTCTCAGAATTGCTGTAGTTCAAATTTCTGTATTTGCAGAAGGGCTATGACCTCTTTTTACAGTGTCAAAGACCACCTTTTACCACTTATTTTACCTCAGAGCAGTGCCTCTCTCTCCTTTTCCAAAAGCAACCCCCTGAGATTAACCTGGAAAGCTGCTGTAATGACATAAGACTTTTCAGTGATGAAGATTTTTTTTTTAAGATTTCTGGGGGTTTTAAAACTTTTTTTTTTTTGCATAAACCCAAGAAAAAATAGTATTTCTCCCATTCAAGGCCCCCAGGGTGCAATTTAGGACTAGAAATCAGTTCCTTATATAGCTGATATAGTGAGAAGCTGCCTTCTGGAAGTACCTGTAAGGAGCTTAGAGTTCCTGTGTCAGATACATATATCAGGTGGAATAAAACTCTGTCTTTATACCACCCAGCATCTGGCCCTGGAAATGCCGTACTTTCTTCTGGTTGCTTTCCTTGAAAGCTTGGAATTTGTCCTTCACAGGTTTCCTGAGCAACGCTAGTCTTGGGTACCAGCCAAATGTGGAGCCCTTTGACAGACAGCCTGTGCCTCTTGCTTGGGGCAGCCCTGTAGCTAAACGATTTCCCAGTCTCTGAGTGGGAGTCCAAACACATTTCTCAGCAACCCTGGAAAGTTCATACGACTGCTGCTGGGGGCACAGCATGAAAGCAGAGGTCAGGGAAGCACATCCAAAGGAAGTCCTGGAAAAAGTGGTACAGTCCCATCCTGCAAAGCCGTTTTCACAGATACCATTCTGGGAGCTCACCCAAGTGAAGGGGCACCACCAAGGGATAAGAGAGGGACAAATGCCCCCATCGAACAGCTGGAGATGAGTGTGGTGCCCCTGGTCTGGGCCAGCCCTCAGTAGCCTTTGGCATGCCACAAAATCACAGGATGGTTGAGGTTGGAAGGGATCTTTGGAGGACATCTGGTTGAACACTGCTGCTTGAGCAGGGCAACCTAGAGCCATTTGCCAAGATGGCTTTTGAATATCTGCAAGGAGGTCCTTGAGCTGTCCTGGAGCAGTCTCAGCTCTCTAGGGAGAAATTTTAAAGTACATCTGAAATGGAATCCTCATTAAAAGTTTCCTTGTGAATACCATAAAAAAACCACTATATTTTCCCCTCAGGGTTCTCTGTCCTTGCCAGCTTGCCACCTGAGGGACATGTTTTCATATAAAACCATTTGAAATCTTCTGCAACAGTGAGTCCCTGGCCTGCTGCTGTGGTTTTAAAGCTCCTTCCTGGGATGATTCTTTTTCTAGAATCTTTATGAGGCTTTGCAAGGTTTCTTTCAGTTTCCAGAGCTCTGCGATTTTCTCGTTGTTCAACCTCTTTGTGTTGAGAAGTCAATGGAGCTGTGGGTGGAAGATGGAAAACTGCAAGAAATGTAGTCCAGGGATTAGGTGTGTGGGCTGTTCAGATGGAAACCATGTATCACATGATGAGAAATCTGTTAGACTCAGGGAGGCAGAAATTAGTACAGTATGCAGTGAGTTCTTGAAAGTGGAAGGGACTGAGTGTCATCCTCTCCACCAATGTGAGACCTTCACTGATAGTAACTGAAATTTTCTATCTACTTACAAAGCAGGTCCAAAGCTAAAGAGGAGCAAGCCTCGATTCTGTTGCCTTGCTCACATACAGTCCTGCCAGCTCAGGAAACAAGGTGTGGAAAACAATGAATCTTCGTCCCCTCTGGCTGTGCTGGGCTTGCTGTCTCAGGTAGCAGCGAGGACCATTGCAGGTGGTGCTTTGGTGATCTAACCCCAAAACAGCCAGAGCTGGGACAGAGAAGGGGAAAGAAAGCATGCAGCACAGATGGGATAAAATTCGGAGCTATTTGTTCTTTATTTTTAGCTTCAAGAGCTTTTTTCCCTCACCCTTCACAGAAGGGTGCACCCCTTCTGTGTGCTTCTACAAGTACATTGAGAAGCTTGCATACTTTCAGCTCTAACTGCACATCAGTGGTACCAGCACAGGTCTGGAGGTGCTGTTTCAGTGGGATCTTGGGGGGTGGAAATGACAATTATGGCACAGAGGGCCTTCTGCATCACTGCGAGACGTATTATTTGCTGGGTTGGTGCAATATTAAAAAATATCTTCTAGACGTTGTTTCCTTGAAATAAAAGAAGATGCTGATGAGAGAAACATGCATCAAAACACACCATCAGATTTCCATAAAACCAAAGAAATCACAAATTTAACAGACAACTGCTACTATAATATTCCTTGGCAATTTAAGGGTGAAGAAGCATGTAATTCCTTTCTGTTCTGCTTTGAATAGCACGTACCTGAAATTTGGTGACTGGATTTTGAGACTTACAGGTTCCTTTTATAAAAAGATGGATTAAGAGGAGATACTTAAAGTATTTAAATTCAAATATTTCTTGAATTTCTATGGACTGAATTTTGTATTGTGATGCCATGTGGGGACAGTGCAAATACGATAACATTTAGGCTAAAGGCCAGGATGCCTCATGCTTTGATAATAACATTATTACATTTCCAATCATCTATAAAGTGGGCAGGTGTATTTAAAGTAGAAAATAGCTGACATTAAAAATGTTGTAGGTGGATTTCTCTTACTTTCATGACCAAAATTACGCAGTTCAATACTTAATGTTGAACTTGAGGAAGATATAGCTGCAATGCTTGTTACAAGAACTTCGAAATGAAACAGGCTTCCCCCAACAGAGTCAGGATCCATTTTCCCTTCCTTTCTCCTACGCATGACCTGTATGGTGTAAGCAAAGCAGAATTCATACCTTCTCCTCATCCTTGCTTTTTTTATCCCTGGTTGCAGAGTCAACCTGAAGTATGACAAACTGCAATGATTGCTGTGGAGCTCTCAGTATTCACTTTCCCCCTCCACCCTACGCTCTAGACAGAAGGAGAGGCGATAGCAAGACCTGTTTCTTCTTTGCACACAGCCTCCTGTGAGCTTCGACCTGGCTCAGAGTGTTGCAAATGAAATTTCTTCTTGTTGACATATTCTGTTTCATTAGCTGGCAGCAGCAGGACTGTTTTTTAAGCCTTAATTGTAGATAAAATTGATGGGGTCTTATTCTCAGGCAGCTTAAAGCTGGCTAAAATAGATTACCAAGCAGAGAATGCAATTTGAAAATCTGATCACTGTTTTGCTGACCAGTTCTGCTTAAAGTCCAGTCTTTTCTGTTTCACCACTATGACTGAAAAGAGGCATGCTATTCCTCTCAGATTTAAACATGTGACCAAATCCTGATTTGGATAATTTCAGATTTGAAAGAGACTCAAGTCTGAGTTTGATGGCTGATCCTGTTCTGCAATTGGCTGGACTGAAAAGCTTCTCTGAATACCCAGGCTCTGGACTCCAGAATATGAACACTCCAGATCTGCTCATTACACCAGAATGTACCTATCTACTTGGATTTAGAAACAATTTTGTGTTTTATTAACTAATCATCAGTTAAATAGCACATAGTGAAAAAGAGCATCTCCTAATTTCTTTGGAAGGATACTGATTTATATGGCATTTTCCAGAAGACAGATGAAGAAGCCACACAGAGGGCATCACTGTGCCTAAGACATGTTGATCTACATATTGCTACAGCCAGCTTCCGACAAATAGCTTAGCATATTCTCCCTTCATCTCACTTCTGTTTGCTCAAAACTTCTTTCTGGTGGTCTGTGCTTCAGATTCATATCAGAGATGTCAGGATGGTACTTTTAAGGAACAGATTGGGTGAGGCTTGTCTGGGAAGCATGGACAAATTCCTTCAGAGTTTGGGTGCCCACTTCTTTTCCCCTGTCTCTGCTTCCATCACAGTTTTTCGTTCTTACACTTCTTGTATATTTGCCTCCTTGCTCAGTTCTCATCTTGTATTTTTCTTTGACTCATCTTTCCTTTTTCTCTTGTTCCCTATACTCAGATGAGCCTTTAAAGTCTAAAGATCTCAGGTTCTCATCACGTTGCACCTCTTCCCTGAACCTTTCAGTAAGAAGTGAGCAGCCTGCCAAACTCCCAGTGCCTTGCTGAAGTGCTCTCATGGTTGGGGCTTTGGTTAGTTGCAGGGGTGAAGCGAACCACGCAGTTGCTACCATGTTTGGGCAACCCACTTCTATTTACTGCATCAGTTCCAGCATTAATGTAGCACATTCCCCAAAGGCAGCATGGCTCCACGCTGATCACACAAGAGCCACAAACCCTCTGAAATTCTTTCAAAGTAAAAAGACAGATCACTGGAGCACCCAATGCTTTTTCTCAATGCCTTCAATCAATTTAATTGGCAGCTGTCAGTACAAAATACCTGTTACAGACTAGTGAGGATGATGTGCCAGTGTTTCCCCAGGTTGCCATTCTCCTTGACACAGAGCTTTATGTGGTATTAGCATTAATTTGGTGTGTGTAGGGCTGTGGGATTTTACCTTTATGTGACAAATGCAGCAGAGGCAGGCATGTGAAAAATCCTGATGGAAAAGCACTGGTTATTCTTCAGATTGTACTGCTCTCTGGTGGGACTAATGCAGAAAAACAGTCACCACAAACGAATGCCAGTTATCTGATCTGACTGCTGATTTGCCTGCCTTACATCCTCTAGGGTCACAGTAATTAGTGCTGGAAAAGGTTATTTGTTTAATCTAGCTTCCTGTAGAGACACTACCTGCAGCAGGGAGACCATTCCAGTCTCCACTCTCAAACCTGAGGTGGAAGGGAAAGTGCCTTGGACACTGTAGAGGCATGTCTTCTGTTCATGAATTTGAATACTTGCCTCGAAGATTCTTATAAGTTTTTCTGGGAGGAAATTATCTAATTTATACAGTCTTTACCTGCAAATGTACAATGCGGTGTGTATATACTGTCTGGTTTTGCCATTATTACATGAGGAAAAAATGAGGAAAACCAGGATCCAGCGTATGAGAATTTGTTAAGCCAATATTTCATACTCCTGACAATATAGAAGATAAAACTGGCATCTTTCTAGACATCCAAAGTACTTTCACTGGCACTTGTAATTGCCTGCAAAGCAGATTGAGTGGGTGCTGGCTCTCACTTTCCGGCAGTGTGTGAAGACATGAGTGGTTGAGGATGTGAGGGCTGGAGCTTTTGAGGTACCACAAAGGAGAGACTTCGTCAAAGCAGGGCACTGTGCAAAGGCGGTTCCCCTGCTGCTGCTGCCTCTTGCAAAACCAGCCTGCTGGATTGCACAGCAGCACGAGGGAGACAGAACCAAGACTGTTGATGAGCAATTTGTGAGCAAAAATTTCATAATAAGTAGTGCACTGTTTCGTGCAGTCTCAGATAAGGATATCCATTCTTTTGGATCTGAAACACATGCCCAGACAGTACAAACACAATAAATACGTTCACTGTCCTGCAACTGAATTAATTACAAGGGTTTTTTTTTTACTTCAGAAGCCTGTTTATTTTGGAATGCAGACTTTTTATGGGAGGTAGATGAGAATTTGATTCTGTGCTGCTTGCATTTTATGTGATGAATTATGCTGTGAGATGAACATAAAGTGAGCATTACACCAAATGACTGCACTGAGCGAGGTGGTGGTACAGGAACAAAGGCCTGAGAGTTTGTCAAAGTATGGAGGATCCCTCAAGTAAAATGCCAAAGTTCTATCTAGTCTAAACCTCCCCTGATGCAACTTGAGGCCATTGCCTCTCATTCTATCGCTAGGAGAAGAGACCAACACCTGCCTCACCACAACCTCCTTTCAGGTAGTTGTAGAGAGCAATAAGGTCCTCCCTCAGCCTCCTCCAGACTAAACAGTCCCAGTTTCCTCAGCCACTCCTCGTAACACTTGTTCTCTAGACCCCTCACCAGCCTCGTTGCCCTTCTTTGGACACGCTCCAGCAACTCCATGTCTTTCTTGGGAGTGAGGGGCCCAAAACTGAACACAGTACTCCAGGTGCGGCCTCACCAGTGCTGAGTACGGGGGCACAATCACCTCCCTACTCCTGCTGGCCACACTATTCCTGATACAAGCCAGGATGCCATTGGCCTTCTTGGCCACCTGAGCACACTGCTGGCTCATGTTCAGCTGGCTGTTGACCGACACCCCAAGGTCCTTTTCTGGCAGGCAGATTTCCAGCCACTCCTCCCCGAGCTTGTAGTGTTGCATGGTTAAGTTTCTATATAACCCAGTTGTTTGTGAAAACGGTGTTTGCCTTTCCAGTTTGGAGTTTCCCTATGGTGCCTGTCATTTCAGTAGTCCACAATACTGCTAGGAGGTTTAGCTGTTCGCGTAAATTATTCTTTCCTGATTTGGATATCTGCATACATTTTCATGTATGAAAATCTTCAAAATTTGCAGATCTTTTGCTGGTATAAAGACACCTGAACTGAAAGTATCCCTGGAGCCCAATGTGAACTATTTCTTCTACTTGAGGGCTGTCAACCCGTTTGGGATAAGTGAACAAAGTGAAGCAGCTCTCATCTCAACTAAAGGTAGATTACTATTTTCTTATGTCAAAACAATGGGATTGAAGGGCCGAGCAGTCAAACATGGCATTTTCCTCTGGAAATTGTACCGAAACTTTCCAATATGGGAGTGTGCAAGTTATTGAGATAAAAGGGACCGTATTTTATGTGCTTAAAACTAGCACAAGAAGGGATTACTTCACTTGAAGTTGGCATGTTTATATCAATGTAAAACTGATGTGAACTCAGTAGCAAAAATGTTAAATTCTGTCAAACATATGAAATTATTAGATATTCTTCATAGATCTCAGTGTGCTGGAGTTTGGCAGAGCACGTTCTGATAAAAGATGCCATGACCTTGAAGAAAAAAACCCTCTCACAACTAAAACCTTATGGACTTTGGGTTTCAAGGATGACGAAGCATGCACAGCAGATTTAAAACATAATGGATGATTTAAACTTTAAGTTTTCCAGATAAATAGTGTTAAATCATGTATGATTCTTCCAAATCAGCCTCAAAGTTCAAATTTGCTATTTTGAAAAAGCAATTGGTTTAAAATTATTCAGCCTTTGTGAATACTGAAGACTTTTGTATCACCTAGCTACATTTCTGAACATTGGACTGCCATCCCAGTTGGGCAAAGGCTGGAAGACTCCTTGCGTTTTCACCCAATTTTCTGTTACTCCTACCTGCCAGCAGACACAACTCTGTCCAGCTAAGACAGCAGTTGTTATTGCTTTACTTTTTATGATTCATCTTATGTTAACATTGCCAGCCTCTCAGAACTGGTGTTTCTTTGTCATGAATTGTACCAGGAACTCGATTTCGCCTGCTGAGCGACACAGCCCATCCCGCTTTGCAAATCTCCTCTAATGCAACGGTGATCCGCCTTCCTGACAAAGCCAAATTCACTGGGTGAGTAGCAGCATGACAAGCACGGCCATCCTACAAGGTTCAGGATGGGTCCCTCGCTCTTACTTTTGCCTACAGGTAGCTTTCACATGGCACTAACCAATTTTGTAGAAATGAATCATTTCAGAACTTTGTGTGATTGACCCCCACACCTCCTTTCGAGCACTGCAACATCTGAAGAAAACCAGTAACAGCATTGATGTAGGTGCTGGGAAGAGTTCAGTGTTGCACTGAGGAACTACCAGAAAGTCAAAGGCAGTGGTATCTACGGGGACTGCTGGGTTTGCCTCAGTCCGTGGTCACTGCTTAATCCTCTAGACCCTTTCAGTTTCAAAACAATTTGTTGCTGCCCTGAGAAGACCAGATTTGTGGGCTTACTTTTGAACATGTGGCTAAAAGTAATCCATCTGCCATATTTTGCCCCCTTCTGGGGGCTTTATTGGCAACATTTTCCAAAGCACCTGTGGCTTTGCAGAAGTAGGAAGGGCTCCTGGGATATGTTTAGAATGGTTGTACCAGGCTAACTCCATCCATTGAAAACATGAATTTTTTTTGACATTCTGATATCAGTCTCATCACAAGCAGAGGTCTGCTTGTATAATTTGTGCCATACTGATATGGCTTCTTAAAAGATAATGAGGTGTTACTTGTTTAAGCACTTTTTTTACTGTTACAGCTGAATGCACACAAGATGTTTGTCACTGTGTTAATTAAAACAGCCATACTTTCTAGTTTGAACAAACCTTGTAAATTTGAGGTCCATTTTTTGCCTCCAAAGTCACCTTTTCCACCTTTTGCTAGTTTCATATAGCTCTGGATAAAGAGTTTTTTCTCCTTAAGATGAGTTCATCTCGGTGCAAAGACGAAATGACTCTCAGTGACAACAATCAAAAATCTTTGATAAAACTGTGCAGTTAGAAGAACAGAGTGCAATCTTTCAGTAATTTTAGGTGATGCTGCATGACGTAACTATAAGAAATATTGCAATATGGCTGGCCTACCACCACACTCACTTTACTGTATGCCTCTTCCACAAACAGGTTTCCTTCAGTCCTGGGTGAACTGCTGCCTGCTCAGGGACATCATTATTGGGAAATCATTGTCTCTGCCTGCAGAAGCTACAGAATTGGGATTTGCTATGAGGCAATATCACAGAGCAGCATTCTGGGGCTGAGTGATACCTCCTGGTGCCTGTGGTGCTGTCCTACACAAACCAGGTAAAGCTGAGTCAGTCTAGTTGCCTCCGAAGTCACTTGTGCTTCACATAAATAAAGCTGGCCAGCTTCAAGAATCATGAGAGCAGAAAGGCTACATCTGCTTGCTTTCTGTAAATTTGAGTAATAAGAAAAGCACAGATACAAAGGAACTTTAGATCTCCTCTTAATTAAAAAAACAACTTATAAAGCACTTCAAAAAATAAGATTAATCTCAAACAGACCAGTTTACCACCTTCGCCCAGACAGTGAATAAAACTTTAAAAAATAATTTGCCACTGCTTTCTCATTCCAGGCTCATATCCTGAACTGCTTCGCAAAATCCAAGGAAGTGTGTTCATTTCCATAAATGCAGTCTTTTTAGAATCTATTTCCATCTGCAGGAGACGTCAAACCTCCATAGGGAATGCCTTCTCCTGCCTTGTCCTTCACAGTGATAGGAACCCACCTGCCACTGTGGCAGGACTGTAGGGTGCTGGGGTGGTCTTCAGCAGGCTAATGCAACACTGCCTGGAGGTTTGTAAGGCATAGCCCCGTTAATGGTGTAAAGGTGCTCTTGATCTCAACAAGTGTGCTTTTTTATTGTGAAATCATATAGATGCACAAACAAAACTAGCTAAATGAAACATCTGAGATGCAAAGGGTTTTTCCAAAGCAAAGCCCATGCTTTAATCCCCACAAATACATGTAATAAGAAAGATATAGATTAATATGATTACAGCAAGTCTGCTTTTATCCTGAGAGTCCAAAGCTGCCAAGTGTAAAGGGCTCATCAGCATGCAAGGCAGGGCTGTGAAGCGATGCCGCATTTGCTTTGCTTACGTACTGAGCAAAATGCTGTTGCCACATGATACGCTGCTGTATGCAGCCACCTGTTAATAGGTGGGAATTAAGCCGTAGGCTATTTCTGGTAAATCGCCATGAGGAGGCTCACTCTGTTCTGGTTTCCCTTTTCCTGCAGCTTTCTCTACAGATCTCTTCACACTGGTGTGATGAGTGATGTCCATGTGACAGAACACCCATGCAGGATCGGCATCCTGTTGGATTACAGCGGTGGCAGACTGTTGTTCTTCAATGCAGAGCGAGGACTGGTGCTGTTCACCATCAGGCACAAATTCACTGATGCTGCTCACCCGGCCTTTGCCCTGGAGAAGGCTGGGGTGCTTACCCTGCGCACAGGAATGGAGCTGCCGGAGTTTGTGAAGCACAGCTAATCCCCTGCTTCACACTTTCAGGAAAACTGATAATTACAGCGTCAGGGGACAGGGAAGGGAAGAGGGGTGCCAGGGAGTAATGTCTAGTCATCACTGATCAATGCTACTCACACAGCTCTCCCCTACATCATTATCAATTGTAGTTAGTGCTCAGCCATGTAATCACCCTGAGCCTGGAGACAAAATCAATTCCTTCAAATAGAGTGCTCACATATTGATGTACACAGAATTAATCTTGAGTGGAAAAAAAAAGTTTTGTTAGACATGAGCATTAAGTGGGGGGGAGGAATGTACTTTCCCTGTGAAAATAATGACAGTGCTAACTGTCTTTTTAAAGTTGATGATGAGCCTGTGTATAAAATAAATGTATTTCTCACTGCAATACATGAAAGACATTGTTTCATCATTTGCCAGGACACTCAAAGCCCAAATCCAAGCTGATGTGTTTGAAAAATGTGCAAAACTTTCAACAACTGAAACATTATACAGGTTAATGTATCTTGTAGTATTGTTTGCCAACTCTTTTCTTTAAATGCACAAACTAAGCAAACCTTGAAATCTGCACGTTTGCAAAACGAGTGAGTCTCAGAGTAGTCTTCATATCAATCACGTAAAGTTTGAGCACACAACACCTACCTAACCTGCTCACAGGAGACACACAGACAGCTACCTGGCTGTGTCAGTAAATATCTGTGCCTGTGAATAGCTACTCATGAAACACATGTACGTGGGAACTCGACAGTAGTAGTAAAAGTCTTACCCTATGTTTTTTATCCTCTATTTTTTGGGTAAGCGGTTTTGATGGTGAAGGGAAGGTTGCCACCCGGGACCTTAGAGAAGGTCTAATTGCCAGTGACCTTCTTGTGGATCACCCTTTTTTCCATCACTGCTTTTTAGCTTTGGATCTACAGATTTGATGCTCCTGATTTCAGGCCTCGGTCCTGGTCTCTCCCGTTGTCTACACCACCACCAGCATCACGGCAGTGAGGGGCAGTGTTTCAGGGCCATCAACACAGGCTAAAAATGGTTGGTTCTCAGCAGAGAAATAGGATGCTGATATTCCCCCTTGTCTTTTTCAAACCATTTTTCCAAGCACTTCACACGTTGGTGGTATGGCTGTTGTCTCGCTTGCCCCAAGGGCTGAATGCACGAATGCCAGTGGTGCTGAACTCCGGTGAATGCTGGGGGGAAATTAATCTTAAGGCAGGCAGGCAATGCTTTTCATGCTGTGCCTGCTCTGGAGATTTCTGCCACAGGGGACAGTGCTGCCGGGCTCACTTCTAAGCTCAGCTGAAGAGCTGTACTCCCCGAAATAAAGCAGATTTCAGGAGTCTAACAGAGAGATTTTGCCTCTAAAGAGAGGACTTAAATGAGTTATAGGGAAGCTTCTGCTTTTTATGCTCAGAGGAGGTGCTGCCTGGTGCTGTTTTATTTATGATTTAACACCACCAAGGCATGTCCTTGCTGCTCTAGCCTTCTATATACTTGGTGTCCCAGAGGAGCCACGCTGTCATAGCAGGCTCAAGTGAGATGGTTGAGGCAAGATAAACAAGATCTTGTGACCATTTATTTTAAGCCAGAGCTCTTTTTGGCATTTCAATTAAAGAGTGCAAGTTCTGAGTCCCTGCTGGAGAGAGAGCGGAATGAAAATGCAGGGTAGTGCCCTGTTGGCTCAAGTGAGTGCTTTGTAGAGATGTGGAGGATGGTGAGAAGAAAGTCCAGGATTAACTGGGAAAGAAAAACAGAAAGGGTATCGGGGGTAGCATTATCATGAAGGCTGAGGAGAAGGAGGTAGAAGGCAGACTGGAAACTCACACAGAGCAGATGGTAAGGTAAGCTAAGAGGCAGGTCAGTGGTGTTGGCAGGGTGCATTGCTCAGGACCCCACAGCCAGTGAGTTCGCCAGAGGTTTAGCTGTCTCCAAGCTTAATGTGGCACTTTGAATTAAACCTGAAAAATCCCGGCACTGGGGCTGTTTTACCTGGGTTCTCCTGACCCTGGTCACTGCTGTCCCAAATGAGGGATTGCTTCATGGACGTCAGTGTGATGTATTGTCAAGGGGACAGCCAGTGAGATGAAGCAAAATGACATTAAATTATTTGGGTGGTTTCTGTAATGAAGACAAGAAGCAGTTGCCTTGTCAAAGGCTACTGTGTTTTAGTAAAGTGCAATTTTATCACGAGGAGCGAAAGCCTCAGCTATTGCCATGCATTATTACTCAGGTACTATTGCAAAATTTGAGCTTGGAAAAATATTTTTATTGGAGGCACATCATTCTTAGAAATACTTGGTTCCTTTTGAAAACTGCCTGTTTTCTGGCTAATTTTTGTAGAAGGTTCAGCTTTTATATTGGGCAGTATCAAAAAGTGTATTCACTGTTTGTGTGAAATCTGGATAAATTATTTTAGCTTGAAAATGACACTCAGAGGACCTAAACAGTACTAATTTGAATGTCTATGTCTAGTCTGCATAAACTCATGCCAGATGAACAAATGCCTAGAGAGAATATCCTGTTCGAGAGATGAAACAAAGGGCACACAAAACAGACAACAATATATAAGATTTAAGATTCAGTACAGGGAAAAAAATTATGTTAGTGAGGAAAGCAGATCCTGAAAGCCACAATTAAGCTGCTAGGACTTATAATACCTGGTGTAAACTCTCCTCCTTTTGGAAAGCCTAGAGGTACACCTGCAGTGAACTTTTACTTGCCTGATGGGCATGAAGTGGCACCAAGTTCAGGAATTCACTCTCCAGGAGGTAATGGTCCACAGATGCTTGAATGAGCACAGCAGTCCATATGACTTTGCTTTCAGATGAACTGAGATTTTGCGGCTTTTGTGTCCAGTTTTTTCTGGCCATTGTAGTTCATAATCATATACTAGAAGAGAAAGACAAAAAACTCAGAGTCACTGTATTTTTCTTGTGCTTGATGAATTTAGCATTTAGAAATACCTCAAAAACCGTGTGACTTATTTTTCAGCAAAGGGTATTAGTTAGCTTGTCTGATAGTAACTAGGACTGTGTGTACATGGTCTGGTCATCATTGCATGCCTAGAACTACATCGAAATACATTTTAAGGGTTACACAAAGAATTGTAAAAGAGTTCACCAGTAATTTGGTGTTTATTTTCATCCTGAAAGTACAAAAGCTGACACCTAACACTGTAAGTATTGTTAATAAATATTTGGACTGATCTGAAATGCATTGAAAGGAACGATTTCTTTTCACATCAGCAGGTTTTAGATTAGGTTCGTAAACCCTTGTGCTCTGAGATGAGAATATAGGCCTGACTGTAAGAAGAGAAACATTAATTTCTACTGTCAAAAGTAGTGCTGAACTGGGATATTGCTAGCATCAGTAGTATTGATCCACAAACCTCGCTTAGGTCTTTCCACTCCAGAGAGAATTTAATGCTTCCATGCGAGGTCAGGCAGAGGAACCTGGCAACATGTCTGCAGACCACAGTGCATGTGGTGTGCGTGCGTGTAGGCACAACTTTGTGCTTGCACTAGTTCTTTTTAAAGAGGGAACTGTCACTGAAATATAACTGAAAATAGTCTAGCAACAACTTATATGAGAAATAGGTACATTAACACACACACACACACACACATTATTGTGGAACTTAATTACATGTTATCACTTAGTCTGTTGCAAGACATAGACCCAGAAAGGCACAGTACCAATAAACTGTTGCTAAATCCACAGTACTGTGATACTGTCTGTGATATACACGTGAAATACTATTTCTATTAGCACTACAGGGTTTTGATTAAGTATGTTAAGACGGATTTAAGAATAATATGAAATGATGAGCTTCCTGAATCATCCTCATTTCAGAATAATAAATAGGACATCTGCCATGTTGAGGTTTGAATTGGATTTGAAAAATCACATTCTGTGGTGGAATCACAATTACATTACTGTCATTTTGCTGACGGATTTACTAGCTATCAAAAAGCTCAGTATGCTCTCATAGTCACACAACCAGCTAGGAAGCGAGAGCGTCACTTCTACTTCCAGCCACATGCTGTGGAAGAGCGATTGAACTAGAAAAGTACCTTCATTTTTCACGTTGAGTTTGTCCAATTTTGTGCCATAGGGGAAAGTAACGTCTTCTGACCAGAGACCACTCTGCAGCGCAGTTCCTACAGGAGCATAACATGGGAGGAAATAGAACAGACGTCTATCCCAGACCCTGCAATGATTTTGTGAGCAGTTAAAAAATGCATAATTTCCTCTCTAGAAAGTATCTGTGCAGAAACGACACTTTCCTTTTCAGGACTTCTATTACAGAGACACTATTTCTAATGAATACATGCTCTTCTGAATCCCGAAGAAACAGTGCTGCAAGCAGAGATGGAATTCATCCATAGCATTCTTAATGCAGCAGTCAGCTGAATTTCAACCTGCCAGACCATTACTACACTACTGAGGAGTATGGGATGTAGAGCTGGACCCCAGCCACAACAGGTACTGGAGCGAGTTGGATTTTGCTGAGCAAGCAAGAAGCCAGTTTGGCTTTTAATGCTGGGACTGGCAAAAGGACGCTTTTATCTGAGCATCCCTTTGCATAGCCCAGCCTTCTGAGGTTATAAATTCTACATCCCACCATTTCATAAGCCCAGGCTCAGAAGGCACAGTGCATATATAGTCCCACGACTCTTATTTTCATATTCACCATGAAGTAGAGGACTATATTTTGAAGTAAAATTAACAGACATTATTTTACTTAATTCTGTAATTGTGTTTTAGGTATGTGTCTGTCTGCTTCCTGCTATCTTTAAAAAAAAAAAGAAAGAAAAAGAAAATTACTGGAAAATTATACTTGTAGAATGAAGCATAGCCTTCAGAAAAAAAGTAACAAATACAAAAAAGAATGAACAATTTGTAACAAGAGAGAGAGTTCTGCGAATACTCCAACAGCGTCCACTGGTGTTGGTGTCCCTCGCTGGCTACCGGTATCATTCTCTGTCCTCACAAAGGGTGTTTTCGTGAAACACATATTAGTAAAAAATACTATGTGCAAGATGTGCAATTAGCAGTGTAAACAACT